TGCAACTTGCCATTATAGATGTCTCGTTGTTTATCCACATACAGCACAGCATTTCTAATGACAGTGATGTCATGTTTTTTATTATAGCTTACTACAGGCTCCAAAGAGCTAGACAAGTTATTAGGAGGTGGGATAGAAACAGGTTCTATCACAGAAATATTTGGAGAATTCCGTACTGGAAAGACTCAACTATGCCACACACTAGCTGTTACCTGCCAGGTAAGTGTTAGCTATGTGATGTGATTTAAAGTATTCTCTTGTATATAAATGTTAATTAAGCTTTGCTGTCATGATTCATTGATCCCTAACTAATGTTCACACAATTAAATTTCAGATAGCTGTTGAAAGAAAGTGTACAACCCTTCCTTCCTTTAACCCTTTCAGGGTTTTTGACGTACTAGTATGGCTTATGCACCAGGGTTATTGACGTACTAGAACGCCTAAATTTTTAGCACCTTCAGATCTAGTGAGAGAAAGCTGGTAGGCCTACATATGAAAGAATGGGTCTGTGGTCAGTGTGCACAGTATAAAAAAAAACCTACAGCACACAGTGCATAATGCTAAAAAAAAACTCCGACCGTGTTTTTGGTTTAAAACAGCGACTTTGCAGTGTATTTTCATATGGTATTTATGGTTGTATTCTAGTTTTCCTGGTCTCATTTTATAGAATGGAAGACATATTACAGAAATTGAGATGATTTTGATTGGTTTCATAAGGAAAAGTACCTTGAAATTGAACTCAAAGTAGCAGAAATGTTCTATTTTTACAAAATTTCGAAAGTAAACAAATCATGCCAAGCGTCCAATACACGTCAACTGGTGAGTCTAATATTCTTTCACAAGTGCACTGATATTATTTATACCATTTCTACACTAATGCAGTAGTCTGCATAACAGTAAATCTGTTTTTTGTGAGAATAAAAATTCAAAGTGGAAAGCAAAAGAGATGTAAGAGGGGCCTGGGGACGTGACTAATGAACAGAGAAAGGGTTATTTTAGTGCCAGGAATGTCTGTCTTGCTTATTCTGGACCCTATTTGGAAATTGGCATCTTCTGAAATTTGTGTGAAATTGGCAAAATTGACAATTTCTGACCACTTTATTGGATACTTGAAATCGGTAAATGGGTGGTTTCTTGTACTCATTCAATAGAAAAATGGAGTTCTAGCGAAATAGATATGATTTTTGCCGACTAGTACACTGAAATTGGCCAAAAATAGGGCTCAAATTGGGCAAAATCGCCGATGCGTAAACATCGCCGAGACCGGTAACTTCACGAGAGAATAATTCCGTAAGTTTTCCATCAAATTTCATACTTTTGGTGTCATTATGATTGGGAAAAGATTCTCTATCATTTCATGAGAATTTTTTTTTCCAAAAAATTTTCGACCCTGAGAAAGAGTTTAGGAGAGGGCCTTTCGACCCTGAAAGGGTTAACGAGTTACTCCCATTTTTTTAAATGACCAGGTATACTAGCTGTGAATTTCTCTCCCTCGATTAATCACTGTTTCCAGAAACAACACCCATGTGATATCACAGGCATATTTAATTCTTTAACAACATTTCTTTAAATATTCCTGTAAACTGGTTTCTTTTGACACTCGTGAGAAAATGTTTCGGCATGGTAAATCAAGTTAGGCTAGAAATTGTTTGGGCATAGGAAATCAGAAGGAGACTAGATAAGGTTTGGGTATGGGAAATTAAAGTGAGGCTATTTTGAATGAAATCCTACAGGTCACATTTTGAGAGAAATCCTTTGGTTCATTTTCAGTTGGAGTGTCTTGCACTTAGAACAAAAGGGTGATCCAGCCAGAGGAAATATGACTTGTATTTCATACTTTTTTCTCTGTTTTTTAAATCAAATAATTTTTTTTATATGATCATGTAGTATATAATAGGAATTCAGTATGAAAAAATATTTTCCCAGTCCCCATCTCAAGTTATAACATGGGCTTCTTAACATATTTTTTGCTTAACATACCTTTTCTCCAAGTCCTGCCTAGGTCATTAAGCAAGGGCATTTGCTTGTATAGTTTTTGTCTGAGAAGTGTAAAATGTCTATATTTATGTTTACACTTAGTGCTACATAGGTAGTAGGTTGGTAGACAGCATCCGCCCAGGGAGGTACTACTGTCCTGCCAAGCGAGTGTAAAACGAAAGCCTGTAACTGTTTTACATGATGGTAGGATTGCTGGTGTCCTTTTTTCTGTCTCATAAACATGCAAGATTTCAGGTGTATCTTGCTATTTCTACTTACACTTAGGTCACACTACACATACATATACAAGCATATATACACACCCCTCTGGGTTTTCTTCTATTTTCTTTCTAGTTCTTGTTTATTTCCTCTTACCTCCATGGGGAAGTGGAACAGAATTCTTCATCCATAAGCCATGTGTGTTGTGGGAGGCGACTAAAATGCCGGGAGCAGGGTGCTAGTAACCCCTTCTCCTGTATAAATTACTAAATTTAAAAAGATAAATTTTAGTTTTTCTTTTTGGGCCACCCTGCCTTGGTGGGATACGGCCGGTTTGTTGGAAAAAAAAAAAAAGAAAAGTTGGTGCTACTCCATAGTTACTAGTTCAGTAGCTGAATTTTCTAAATAAGAATCATGCTACCCCAATTTCTCACAAATGGTTTGAAACAAGCATCTGGAACCATTGTAGTATGTACCTCAGTGTGTGATATGGTTACCTTAATATCTGTACTTTTACTTCTCACTATGTATAGCTGGAATATTGTCAGGGTGAGTTTGCATGTTTAAAGATGTAATGTAATTAAATTTTGTCACCAACTGCTATAAGCAGATATCCACCAACATATTTTGTCTATCTAAATTTTGTTTGTCTTATAAGATGAGATTGTTAATACCATCACTGTGCAAAAAGGTGAGCGTTTCCTTTAGCATTGTCAAAAACAAATATTTAGGCTAATAGGAATATTAAATTTTTATAGATATTTATTGCATCTCGGTGGGATACAGCCGTTTTTTTGAAAGAAGAAGACTTATTGAATCAGTTTGAGTCCAGTATTTTATATCTTAAATTTCAAATGTATGTTCCAGCTTCCTTTAGATATGGGTGGTGGTGAAGGAAAGTGCCTTTACATAGATACAGAAGGAACATTTCGACCTGAACGTCTTCTTGCAGTTGCTGACAAATATGGGCTCTCTGGGGCTGATGTGCTTGATAATGTAGCCTATGCCAGAGCATATAACTCGGATCATCAGACACAGTTGTTGATTCAAGCAGCAGCTATGATGGCAGAGTCAAGGTTAGTTGCTACAAACACTAGTTTTCTGCAGTCATACATTCATTTGTACTACATGCCTCTCTCAACCCCAGTATGGTCTCTCTCACTGTCCTTGATGACATGTGTTCCTATAGTAGAGAGAGAGAAAGGATAGAAGACGTGGAGAGAGAGATGAGGAAGAGATGAAGATGAAGAGACTAGATGAGTAGAATGACTGAAGACTAAAAGAGATGAGAGAGGAGACTGAGAGAGAATGAGAGAGAGAGAGACTGAGAGAGAGAGAGACTGAGAGAGAGAGAGACTGAGAGAGAGAGAGACTGAGAGAGAGAGAGACTGAGAGAGAAGAGAGACTGAGAGAGAGAGAGAGAAAGAGAGACTGAGAGGAGGAAGAGAGAGAGACTGAGAGAGAGAAGAGAGAGATGAGAGAGAAAGAGAGACTGAGAGAGAAAGAGAGACTGAGAGAGAAAGAGAGACTGAGAGAGAAAGAGAGACTGAGAGAGAAAGAGAGACTGAGAGAGAAAGAGAGACTGAGAGAGACTGAAGAGAGAAGAAAGAGAGACTGGAGAGAGAGAGAAGAGAGACTGAGAGAGAAAGAGAGACTGAGAGAGAAAGAGAGAGACTGAGAGAGAAGAAGACTGAGAGGAGAGAGACGAGAGAAAGAGAGACTGAGAGAGAGAGAGAGAGAGAAGAGAGAGAGAGGAGAGAGAGAGAGAGAGAGAGAGAGGAGAGAGAGACTGAGAGAGGGAGAGAGAGACTGAGACTGAGACTGAGACTACTGTGTATTCAGTGGAGATAGTACCTGGAGTACTATCTCCACTGTTTAGGTAGTCAAAATAATGCTTTCATTTAAGGATATAGCTAAGGGTGTGTTATTCATGTTAGTGATGAGCTTTCTAGTAAATTGTATAAAATGAGTTTCATTTTGGAACACCTACAGGTGCACTAATGAGACAAGGATACCTATTTTATCATCATCATATATTAAAAATTTTTTTAATGCATCAGCCATTTCCCATTGAGGCAGGGTGACCCGAAAAAGAAGAAATGCTCTTATCATCACTCGCTACATCGTCTTGCCAGAGGCATGCAATATCAGATTGATGTATTCTGCACTATTACCTAACTTTATTTTTCATTGTATCATTTTATGTAATGTCATACCTAATGCCATTTTATTTACCATGTAATCATACCCATAAAGTAAGCTAAACAGAAATTGTCATTGTCTTATAATTTTTAGTACATGGCATTTTCTAAAAAATCTTTATGTAATTTTAAGATGCATTTGGAATATTTCAGATATGCATTATGTATAGTAGACAGTGCTATGGCATTGTATAGAACAGATTATGCAGGGAGAGGAGAACTCTCTGCTAGGCAGATGCACTTAGCACGTTTTTTGCGAATGCTTCTCAGATTGGCTGATGAGGTAATGTGAAACTTTGCGTTACAACATTCAATTATATTGTATCCATAGTATTTGTTTAAGCTGTGAGTTTAGTGTTATTTTAATTACACTTAAGCCAAAAATCATTCTCTTCTTAATTAGTTTGGTGTTGCTGTGGTAATAACAAACCAAGTGGTTGCTCAGGTGGATGGAGCAGCAATGTTTGCAGCAGATCCAAAGAAACCCATTGGAGGCAATATTATGGCTCATGCTTCTACAACTAGGTAATGTATATGTAATTTGTGTAGAATTTGAAATACTGGTGACACAATGTTTGGGGTCATTAACCCTTTAACTGTCGGTGACTAATAGGTACGTCTTACAAGCCAGCGTTGGTGACGTATTAACACCCAAAAATTCTAGAGGCTTCGAATCTAGCAGGAGAAAGCTGGTAGACCTACATGTGAAAGAATGGGTCTGCGTGGTCAGTGTGCACAGTATAAAAAAAAGTCCTGTAGCATGCAGTGCATAATAAGAAAAAAAAACTCTTGACAGTGTTTTTGGATTAAAACGCTGATTTTGAGGTGTATTTTTGTATGGTATTTATGGTTGGAGTCTCGGTTTCTTGGTCTTATTTGATAGAATGGAAGATATATTACAGAAATAGAGATGATTTTGATTGGTTTTGCAATGAAAAGTACATGTACCTTGAAATTGAGCTCAAAGTAGCGGAAATGTTTGATTTTTGCCAATGTTCAAGAGTAAACAGATGATGTCACCATTCAATATGTGTCCAACTGGCCAGTCTAATATGCAGTCACAAATGGGTTGACACTGTTTATACAATTATGTAATACGTAATGCAGTAGTCTGCATAACAGTAAAAAATTTTTTGTGTGAAAAAAATTCAAAATGGAAAGCAAGAGCAATATAAGAGTGACCTGGATTATTATTATAATCAAAAAGAAGCGCTAAGCCACAAGGGCTATACAGCGCTGCAGAGAGACCTGGAGATGTGATTAATGAACAGAGAAAATGTTATTTTATTGCCAGGAATGTCTGCATTGTTTATTCTGGACCCTGTTTTGAGATTGGCATCTTTTGAAATTTGTGTGAAATTGGCCAAATTGTCAATTTCTGACCACTTTATTGGGTAATTGAAATCGGTAAATGGGCAGTTTCTTGTACTCAGTCAATAGAACAAATGGAGTTCTAGCAAAATAGCTATGAGTTTGGTTGACTGGAACAACGGAATTGGCTGAAAATAAGGCTCAAAGAGGGCAAAATCGCCGATGCGTATATATCGCCAAGACCTCTAACTTCGCGAGATTGTAATTCCATAAGTTTTCCATCAAATTTCGTACTTTTGTTGTCATTATGTTCGGGAAAAGATTATCATTTCATAAGAAAAAATAATTTTTTTCCGAATATTTTTCAGAACAGAGAGCGAGTTTAGAATCAGGGGTCCTGACAGTGAAAGGGTTAAAATGTGTGGTGTATTATGCAAAGAATTCATATTAGTATTAAATAGAGGGCTGAAGAGGGGTTGTTGAGGTGGTTTGGCCATTTAGAGAGAATGGAACAAAGTAGAATGAATTGGAGAGCGTATAAATCTGTAGGGGAAGGAACACAAGGTAGGGGTCACCCTCGAAAAGGTTGGAAGAAGGCCCCTTCTTCCAACCTTTTCGAGGATGTTTTGAGGGTGAGGGGCTTGGATTTCCAGCAAGCGTGTGTGAGCGTGTTAAGAGTGAATGGAGACGAATGGTTTTTGGGACCTGACGAGCTGTTGGAGTGTGAGCAAGATAATATTTTGTGAAGAGATTCAGGGAAACCAGTTAGCCAGACTTGAGTCCTGGAAATGGGAAGTACAGTGCCTGCACTTTAAAGGAGGGGTTTGGGATATTGGCAGTTTGGAGGGACATCTAAGCTGTCGTATCTGTGTGCCTCTGCAAAGACAGTGATTATGTATGAGTGATGGTGAAAGTGTTTAATGATGAAAGTTTTTTCTTTCTTTTTGGGTCACCCTGCCTCAGTGGGAAATCACCGAAGTGTTAGAAAAAATTAAAAAACAAATGTCCAGTACATAGAGAAGTGAACTGTTTTTGTTGCTACACCCTGAAGGGAAATTCCTTCATATTGACTAGAGGCTTTTGATCCAAAGTATTAGGCTTGTTTACCCCTTCCTTGGATTGAACCTGATACCTCCATATCCCAGTCACTTTATGAACCTGTGTATGTTTAGTGCTTCCTCCTAAATAATAGTAATGCTAGTAATAATAACTGCTTTATATGGTGAAAGGATAATTACATAAATAAAGAGGGTTATATTAGTACTGTACTGCAGTACTTGACCACACCACACAACTGGGCACTGACTAATCAACCTTTGCTTGCTCGCTCACCACAGCACATACCTGGGCACCCACTAATATCACAATTGCTGCTGCTCCTTTTCCTTCATTCATTACACAATGCATCTGGACACTGCTAACCAGTGTTCCCCTCACCCAACATAACCACATTGCACACCTGCCAGCATCACCAAAATGCTACCTGCCTGCCTCCCTCCCTACACTGCATATTTAGGTGTTGCCAACCAATCTTTCCTCACTCACCATACATCACACCTGCTATCACCAAAGTACTCCTTGTCTGCCTCTCACCAGTTAATAGTCCTTGCAAGTTATCATCTGTCGGTTGAAGCCAAAGTGTTATTCCTTTAAAGAGCTGGCAGAATTGAAGATAAATTCTTAGTAAATTTGTTTTTCTCCTACGTTTCATAAGAAAATATAGTAGTCTCATTTTTTAATTTAATGAATACCTTGTGCCATCACCCTCCTGTCATTTTCAGCAATGGCAGAGAAATGCGAGTGAGTAGATATCTTTACATCCAAAGATTGAGCTGCTGGTGAGAGGCTCTTAATACAAGGAATGGAATTATCCTCCCATTCCCTAGGTGCTATATGACCCTTTAGAGCTAGGTGCTTCCTCAGTTAAAATAAATAAATATTTTAAATGTAAATATGAACAGATGCAAATTACTTTTTGACTTTTTAAAACTTAATGCATTATTTAAGATTAAAGACAGGTTTAAAATCTACCATGTTTTTTCAAGGAAGCATTTTTCTTTTTCTTTTCAGATTATATCTAAGGAAAGGTAGAGGAGAAACCAGAATCTGTAAAATTTATGATTCTCCATGCCTTCCTGAAGCAGAAGCGATGTTTGGTATATATGCTGATGGTATTGGTGATGCCAAGGACTAAGCATTGTACCCAATGACAGCATAATGGTTTTGCCTTAATCTGTCGAATCTTTTCACTTGAGTCCTTATGTTCAAGGATTATGCAGTCCAATATTTTTTTTATATAAATCTGTGCATACGAAGGTAATACATCAATAAATGCTTTTATAAAATTCGTAGCAATAACTTGTTTCCTGCATTGGAGATTCTTATTTGACAATATTTCAGACAGTATGTAATACATATATCCCAGTTTTTTGTGCACGACAATAACTCTATAGTTGTATTCACTCATTTCTTGTTTTGCGTACTCTATGTCATGTCACGTCACTGTCTCCCACTTTGAAAGAAGAATTGTAAGATAATCTTTTATATACCTTTATCATTTGTCATAAAAAATATTTTCATTGTCATTTGTAATAAAGTTCATTAATCTTTGTCAGCAGAGTGTACCTTTACAGTTGAATGTCAGCATTATGTGATTTGTTATGCAAGAAAATAGTTTAAAAAAAAATTATCATTTATTGACCTAGATAACCCTTGTGGGTTTTGTGCTTAGTTTTGATTGTAATAATAATAATAATATTGAACTATATATATGTAGTGTAAAGCACCCTTCTGGCAAGACAGTGATGGAGTGAATGATGGTGAAAGTTTTTCTTTTTCGGGCCACCCTGCCTTGGTGGGAATCGGCCAGTGTGATAATATAATAAAAAATATATAGTAAATTCTCTCGAAGCGTGCCCTTGATAGTGAAGGGGGTGGGAGAGTTTCAGTGGAGAGGAATAAATGGGATTAGGTCAGGGGTTTCAAATAGAGTTAGAGCTAAAGAAGGAGTAGCAATAATGTTGAAGGATAAGCTATGGCAGGAAAAGAGGGACTATAAATGTATTAATTCAAGGATTATGTGGAGTAAAATAAAGATTGGATGTGAAAAGTGGGTTATAATAAGCGTGTATGCACCTGGAGAAGAGAGAAATGTAGAGGAGAGAGATTTTGGGAAATGTTGAGTGAATGCGTGGGGAGTTTTGAATCAAGTGTGAGAGTAATGGTGGTTGGGGATTTCAATGCTAAAGTGGGTAAAAATGTTATGGAGGGAGTAGTAGGTAAATTTGGGGTGCCAGGGGTAAATGTAAATGGGGAGCCTTTAATTGAGCTATGTGTAGAAAGAGATTTGGTAATAATACATATTTTATGAAAAAGAGGATAAATAAATATACAAAGTATGATGTAGCACGTAATGAAAGTAGTTTGTTAGATTATGTATTGGTGGATAAAAGGTTGATGGGTAGGCTCCAGGATGTACATGTTTATAGAGGGGCAACTGATATATCGGATCATTATTTAGTTGTAGCTACAGTTAGAGTAAGAGGTAGATGGGAAAAGAGGAAGGTGGCAACAAGAAGTAAGAGGGAGGTGAAAGTGTATAAACTAAGGGAGGAAGAAGTTCGGGTGAGATATAAGCGACTATTGGCAGAAAGGTGGGCTAGTGCAAAGATGAGTAGTGGGGGGGGTTGAAGAGGGTTGGAATAGTTTTAAAAATGCAGTATTAGAATGTGGGGCAGAAGTTTGTGGTTATAGGAGGGTGGTGGCAGGAGGAAAGAGGAGTGATTGGTGGAATGATGAAGTAAAGGGTGTGATAAAAGAGAAAAAGGTAGCTTATGAGAAGTTTTTACAAAGCAGAAGTGTTATAAGAAGAGCAGAGTATATGGAGAGTAAAAGAAAGGTAAAGAGAGTGGTGAGAGAGTGCAAAAGGAGAGCAGATGATAGAGTGAGAGAGGCACTGTCAAGAAATTTTAATGAAAATAAGAAAAAATTTTGGAGTGAGTTAAACAACTTAAGAAAGCCTAGGGAAAGTATGGATTTGTCAGTTAAAAACAGAGTAGGGGAGTTAGTAGATGGGGAGATGGAGGTATTAGGTAGATGGCGAGAATATTTTGAGGAACTTTTAAATGTTAAGGAAGAAACAGAGGCAGTAATATCATGCACTGGTCAGGGAGGTATACCATCTTTTAGGAGTAAAGAAGAGCAGAATGTAAGTGTGGGGGAGGTACGTGAGGCATTATGTAAAATGAAAGGGGGTAAAGCAGCTGGAACTGATGGGATCATGACAGAAATGTTAAAAGCAGGGGGGATATATGTTGGAGTGGTTGGTACTTTTGTTTAATAAATGTATGAAAGAGGGAAAGGTACCTAGGGATTGGCGGAGAGCATGTATAGTCCCTTTATATAAAGGGAAAGGTGACAAAAGAGACTGTAAAAATTATAGAGGAATAAGTTTACTGAGTATACCAGGAAAAGTGTACGGTAGGGTTATAATTGAAAGAATTAAGGTAAGACAGAATGTAGGATTGCGGATGAGCAAGGAGGTTTCAGAGTGGGTAGGGGATGTGTAGATCAAGTGTTTACATTGAAGCATATATGTGAACAGTATTTAGATAAAGGTAGGGAAGTTTTTATTGCATTTATGGATTTAGAAAAGGCATATGATAGAGTGGATAGAGGAGCAATGTGGCAGATGTTGCAAGTATATGGAATAGGTGGTAAGTTATTAAATGCTGTAAAGAGTTTTTATGAGGATAGTGAGGCTCAGGTTAGGGTGTGTAGAAGAGAGGGAGACTACTTCCCGGTAAAAGTAGGTCTTAGACAGGGATGTGTAATGTCACCATGGTTGTTTAATATATTTATAGATGGGGTTGTAAAGGAAATAAATGCTAGGGTGTTCGGGAGAGGGGTGGGATTAAATTTTGGGGAATCAAATTCAAAATGGGAATTGACACAATTACTTTTTGCTGATGATACTGTGCTTATGGGAGATTCTAAAGAAAAATTGCAAAGGTTAATGGATGAGTTTGGGAATGTGTGTAAAGGTAGAAAGTTGAAAGTGAACATAGAAAAGAGTAAGGTGATGAGGGTGTCAAATGATTTAGATAAAGAAAAATTGGATATCAAATTGGGGAGGAGTATGGAAGAAGTGAATGTTTTCAGATACTTGGGAGTTGACATGTCGGCGGATGGATTTATGAAGGATGAGGTTAATCATAGAATTGATGAGGGAAAAAAGGTGAGTGGTGCGTTGAGGTATATGTGGAGTCAAAAAACGTTATCTATGGAGGCAAAGAAGCGAATGTATGAAAGTACAGTAGTACCAACACTCTTATATGGGTGTGAAGCTTGGGTGGTAAATGCAGCAGCGAGGAGACGGTTGGAGGCAGTGGAGATGTCCTGTTTAAGGGCAATGTGTGGTGTAAATATTATGCAGAAAATTCGGAGTGTGGAAATTAGGAAAAGGTGTGGAGTTAATAAAAGTATTAGTCAGAGGGCAGAAGAGGGGTTGTTGAGGTGGTTTGGTCATTTAGAGAGAATGGATCAAAGTAGAATGACATGGAAAGCATATAAATCTATAGGGGAAGGAAGGCGGGGTAGGGGTCATCCTCAAAAGGGCTGGAGAGAGGGGGTAAAGGAGGTTTTGTGGGCAAGGGGCTTGGACTTCCAGCAAGCGTGCGTGAGTGTGTTAGGAGTGAATGGAGACGAATGGTACTTGGGACCTGAAGATCTGTTGGAGTGTGAGCAGGGTAATATTTAGTGAAGGGATTCAGGGAAACCGGTTATTTTCATATAGTCGGACTTGAGTCCTGGAAATGGGAAGTACAATGCCTGCACTTTAAAGGAGGGGTTTGGGATATTGGCAGTTTGGAGGGATATGTTGTGTATCTTTATATGTGTATGCTTCTAGACTGTTGTATTCTGAGCACCTCTGCAAAAACAGTGATAATGTGTGAGTGTGATGAAAGTGTTGAATGATGATGAAAGTATTTTCGTTTTGGGGATTTTCTTTCTTTTTTGGGTCACCCTGCCTCGGTGGGAGACGGCCGACTTGTTGAAAAAAAAAAAAAAAAATCTTAATACACATTACACTACTACTACTAGGTTTTAACTGAACATAAGGGTTATACTGTAAGTTTTAAAAAGTGACTCAGGCATTAAAACTCAGTAATTTCTTATTTTGTCCAAAAATGTCAAATAATAAGAAATTTAAAAGCTTGTGGGGGCTTTTTCTGGTGGTGCCAAGTGCCTAACACTGTTTTCAGATATTCTCTTCACATTGTATCAATAATTTTGTATTGTATATATAGTCTCTTCAGGAACATAACCTATACTTTGTGAGAATTCACTGTATTGCTGACCAGGAACAAGATTACCTTTGTTTTTTATTCATGCTTTGGTGCATTTTCAAGTCAAATGATATTACATAGTTTCTTATTCAAACTGCTATTGGCTTTAGAATTATTTAAAAATTTACTTCTACATTAGTATATGCAAACTAGTATTTAGTGCCTATATAGATATGATTGATCATACATAATGCTTTAAGAAATTGTTAATTAATATAATCCATTTATTTTGTTAAATTTTTAGTCTTTAAATTGTGATCTTAATGCATGTTTAATACATCATTCACTGACAGGGGAACTGTACTCTACGTGATGGAGCTCGGCTCCATCACGTAGAACTATGGCACCGACCCGCACTTTAAAGCCATAGTACTACAGTACTCACCCTCAAAGGGTTAAATACCATGTATAATCTTAAAACTCCCAGAAACTAATGAAAGAACACTTTTTTTTTTTTTAACCTGGCCATATCCCACAGAGACAGTCTGTGTGCTGAAAAAAAAAAAAGTTTCATTTTCCATCTTTAGAAATATGAAATTATTTTACCACTGTCTGTATTCAACATGACTGAAGTTATTACACTGTATTATCATTGCAAAGTTTGTGTTTAACTATGCAGCACTGTATAGCCCTTATGGTTTAGCACTTCTTTTTGATTATTATTATTATAATGTGTTTAACCCTTTGACTGTCGCAAGCCCCTTTCTGAAGCTGTCATTCTATGTCGCAAAAGTTTTTGAAAAAAAAAAAAATATTTTTTATTATGAAATGATAGAGAATCTTTTCCCGATGGTAATGACACAAAAAGTACGAAATTTCGTTGAAAACTCGCGGAATTACGCTCCCGCGAAGTTAGCGGTCTCGGCGACATATACGCATCGGCAATTTCGCCGAATTTGAGCCCTGTTTTTGGCCAATTCCGTTGTTCTAGTTGACCAAACTCATTTCTTTAGAACTCCATTTTTTCTATCAGTTGAGTACAAGAAACCGCCCATTTACCAATTTGAACTACCCAATAAACTGGTCAGAAATTGGCAGTTTGGCCAATTTCATGCAAATTAAAAAAGATGCCAATTTCAAAATAGGGTCCAGAATAAACAATGTAGACATTCTTGACACTAAAATAACATATCCTCTGTTCATTAGTCATGTCTCTAGGCCCCTCTATTACTATTTATTTTGAGTTTTTATTCATACAAAAAAAAATAAAAAATTTACTGTTATGCAGACTACTGCATTATTGTAAAAATGGTATAAATAATATCAGTGTACTAGTGAAAGAATATTAGACTCCCCAGTTGAAGTGTATTGGATATGTGGTGTAATTTGCTTACTCCTGAACATTGGTAAAAATCGAACATTTCCGCTACTTTGAGCTCAATTTCAAGGTCGTTTTCACCGTGAAAGTAATGAAAATCATCTCTATTTCTGTAATATGTTTTCCATTTTATCACACGAGACCATGAAAACTAGAATACAACGATAAATACTATATGAAAATACACCTCAAAGTCGGCGTTTTAATCCAAAAAAAAACTTTTTTTCTCTCTCTCATGCACTGTATGTTGCAGGATTTTTTTTATGTAGTGCACACTGACCTCACAGATACATTCTCTCAAATGTGGGCCTACCAGCTTTCTCCTGCTCGAGTTGAAACCGCTAGAATTTACGTTTAAATACGTCAGATACAGTGGCGCGTAAGACGTATATATACGACGTAAACAGTCAAAGGGTTAACTATGAATTCTACAGTACACCTAAAAGTTTAATAATACATAATTCTTTTTCCCCAGATTTTATTATATTTAAGTATTTGAATTATACTGCTAATTAGAAACCTTTCCCCTAATGCAAAAGGTCAACAATATGTGGATGATGTTCAGTGCCATGTTTTTGGCTCAATAATATACAGGGTGCCCACAAAAGCACTCCCTGATTTCAAACAGATATAACATGTAACTTTATTGTAATAATCTTTCACAGTTAGTAGCTTCAGATGCAGGATTTCATTCAGTTTCATGTGGTACAGGGAAGCACATGAAACTTGTTGCTCGGCAAACGTTGTTGCGATAATCCAATTTGGTCCAGACGCTCTGCAGCATATCTGGAGTTATCATGTTAACTGCTTCAGTGATCAAAATTTTCAGTTCCTCTAGGATTGCAGGTAGTGGTGGTACGTAAACTGTGCTCTTCACGTACCCCCAAAGAAAGAAGTCACAAACAGTTAGGTCCAGTGACCTCGCAGGCCACTTGCAGAGGTCACCGAACCTGTTTGTGACTTCTTTCTTTGGGGGTATTTGAAGAGCACAGTTTATGTGCCACTACTACCTGCAACTCTGGAGGAGCTGAAAATTTTGATCACTGAAGCACTTCGCATGGTAACTCCAGATATGCTGCAGAGCGTCTGGACCGAACTGGACTATCACATCAATGTTTGCCGACCAACCACAGAGGCACACATTGAGTGCCTTTAACCCATTGACTGTCGCAACCCCAAATCCTGAGGTGTCTTCTGGTAGATAGAGAATCTTTTCCCGATGGCAATGACACCAAAAGAATGAAATTTGATGGAAAACTTATGAAATTACACTCGTGAAGTTAGCGACCTCGGCGATATTTATGAATCGGTGATTTCGTCCACTTTGAGCCCTATTTTTGGCTAATTCCATTGTTCCAGTCGACCAAACTCATAGCTATTTCTTTAGAACTCCATTCGTTCTATCGATCGAGTACAAGAAACTGCCCATTTACTGATTTCAACTACCCAATAACATGGTCAGAAATTTGTAATTTGGCCAATTTCATGCAAATTAAAAAATGTGCCAATTTCAAAATAGGGTCCAGAATGAACAATGCAGACATTCCTGGCTCTAAAATAACATTTTCTTTGTTCATCAGTCACATCTCCAGGCCCCTCTGATATTACTCTTGCTTTGTATTTTGAATTTTTATTCAAACAAAAAATAGAAGATTTACTGTTATGCAGACTACGGCAATATGGTAATAACTGTATAAATAATGTCAAACCATTCATGACTGCATATTAGAATGGCTCGTTGGACATTTATTGGACAATGACATTTGTTTACTTTTGAACATCGGCAAAAATCAAACATTTCCCCTACTCTGAGCTCCATTTCAAGGTTCTTTTCATAGTAAAACCAATCAAAATCACCTCTATTTCTATAATATGTTTTCCATTCTATCAAATGAAACCATGAAAACGAGAATACAACCATAAATACTATACGAAAATACACCACAAAGTCGACATTTTAATCCAAAAACATAGTCGGAGTTTTTTTTCCTCGTGCAATGTGTGCTGCAAGATTTTTTTTTTATATGGTGCACACTGACCACACATATGCATTCTCTCACATGTGGGCCTACCAGCTTTCTCCTGCTTGATTTGAAGCCACTAGAATTTTTGAATATATATATGTCAAACATGGTGGCTCGTAAGATGTATACATACGACTGAAACAGTCAAAGGGCTAATGCTACCCTATACCACATTTAACTGAATGAAATCCTGAATTTGAAGCTACTAACTGTGAAAGATTATTACAATAAAGTTACATATTATAACTGTTTGAAATCAAGGAGTCTTTTTGTGGACACCCTGTACAATAAATGTTAACGAGTTTTTAAATAAATTTCCCAATTGCTTCTCATTCTTGAAGTGTTGTATGATCCTGATTAAATATGATAGTTTGCAATTTAAAGAACTATGAATAACTCCATATTTCTAGATGTTTTAATTATTAAAAAGATGATTGCATTTAAATTAATGATGCTGTAAATAGAAAGCCAATTAATTTTTGCTCCTATGCACCATGACAGAGTTCAACATTGTTTTCTCTTCCATATTCCATATCTTTGAGAGTTTTTGCATAATTTTAGTGTAAAGATTTGAAAGAAAAATCAATAATTAAAATAGCATTGTAAACTATCTAAGCTGGATACATTCATTAATAATAAAACTTGACAATTGATTTTAGTCGTATGAACACATCATTTCTGTATGCAAGATTCAATCCTCCTGATATACAAGTCACTTGCTTAATTGCCTTCATTATGTTCCTGTTTCTTGAAAATGTGGCTGATCCATCAAAAAGGTATTGGGTGACATCACTCCTGTGATAACCAATCATTATCACAATACGTACATAATTATGGACTAATTTACTACAGTAATTTGAATGAACCCATTATTGCACTTAATTGTAAAAGTGTTTGAAAGTGCCTTACTACTTTCATAATATCATGCTTTTCATAGAATGGCTGGTTCAACAAACCCTCAGGTATATAACAGAGTTAACAGGAAGACCCAAGAGCTTCACACTGAGTGCTGTTTTAATGTGACAGCTCCAGAGACCACCTTCAGTACCCTAATAGCTTACCTTGTACATTTTTCTCTTTCTAACTGAAAGCTCAGTCTGTGGTTTCTTATTTGATACTGATTTGCTATATCACTGTGGTTCACATTCTTTCTGCCAATATCCTAATATAAGTACAAATTAGTGTAGATCCTGACAATGGTTACCACATTATTTGACTAACAAAACACCATGCCATATTTCAAAAAACATACATGAACATTTGATGCTATTTAGTATAAATTAACACGTGCTTCTCTAAATATTGCAATGGACTAAGTGATGTTAATTTTTTTAAGAGTGTTGGTTACAGCAGCCTTTACAACATCAATGTGTTTCAGAATGGCTGGTTCTTCACGCATGTAATCTTGGGTTTTGCACTTTGCTCCACAAGTCCAAGTGAAATGAGCCAGATAAGCTATGTCTGGAGACACCTCTTGTAGGTCAGAAGGACAAGGGTCTGGGGATAAACAATACATTTCAAATTATATAATCTGGACTCTATATTTGTTACAGTATTAATTCTGATAGAGTGATGAGCATATAATTCACAGAACTATAACTCTGAAATATAGTATAAAAAAATGGATGATAGTAAACTTAAAATAATTCTCTTGTATTACAGCTTAACAATTTCACTAACACTGCATTACATATCCTGATCACAAAGTGAATGAAATGTTTACAAAATTAATTTTTACATTGGTATGTTCATAGTCTGCCCATTAACCTATTCCTGTTTTGTCATTTTAGCTGGAGAATGATAATACAGGTAGCATTAAGTTAACTTAGTTTTGAACACAAACCTGAGTTGCAGGAAATAACGACATGTGATGAGACGCCTGTGGTGTAGTCCATATCGTAGATTGCTTTGTATGTCCCAGATGAAATGGGAAGATCTTCCTTGGTTCTTAAAATATGACGCATCATGTATAAATATTGCGGCAGATCACGAGTGCTGGCTGGTGGCTCAACATCATTATAAAACATATTCCACTGAAGTTTGTAGCCTATAGGCAGTCTTGCATTGTTGTTGTATGACCTGTAGAAGGTCTGTTTTAAAATACATATACAATTCTTGGTGGTAATAATGTGATAAGGTGAAGTAGTCTCCTGACTAGGCTCCTATCCAAGTACCCAAGTGAATCAATTTATGTAATAAAAATATGGTATGTACTTGGTTTTATAATGAGAAGTGAAATTAATAGGAATACAACAGGGCCCTAACTTACAACATTCTAATTTCTGGCCTTCCACACTTAAATGGCACTTTGGAACCAATTAATTACTTACAAACACTAATCTGCAACTACAGTAATAAAAAATATTTAAAAGGAAATTATTTTAAATATTTTTTACCATATGCAGTAATGTTTTGTTTGTTTAATTTATGCATGTATAGAGCGCTCTCATGTGTTTGGTTTCTTAATAAGGCTGAATTATAATTATTATTCATGGTTAATTTTTACCAAATGAATTCATACTTTTTGTGTGTATTTTATGGATAACTATGTAAGGATGAATTGTATAGTATGTATTATTTTTTCTTGATTAGTTTTTCATCAAATGCATTCATACAGTACTCTGTATTTATTTTATTTTATGGAAATGGGAAGTACAATGCCTGTACTCTAAAGGAGGGGTTTGGGATATTGGTAGTTTGGAGGAATGTGTTGCATACCTTTATATGTATATGCTTCTAAACTGTTGTATTCTGGGCACCTCTGCAAAAACAGTGATTATGTGCGAGTGAGGTGAAAGTGTTGAATGATAATGAAAGTCTTTTCTTTTTGGGGATTTTTTTCTTTCTTTTTGGGTCACCCTGCCTCGGTGGGAGACGGCCGACTTGTTAAAAAACAAAAAAAAAAAAGCTCATTTGTTGGTAAAAACTGATCGAGAACCATAGGTTTAAAATTTATTATTTTCTTAAGGCTGAATTATATGTTAATTTTTTTTTTACCAAATGCACGGAGATACTGAATATGCCTTTTCTATGTACAATGGACCCCCGACTTACGATATTAATCTGTTCTAGAGAGCACATTGTAAGACAAAATTATTGTAAGTTGAATTAATTTTCCCCATAAGAAATAATGGAAATCAAATTAATCCATTCAAGGCACCCAAAAGTATGAAAAAAATTTTTTTACCACACACAAAATTTTACTTACACACAAACAGAAGGATACATGCACAATATATATTGTGTAATGAAGAATAAATGACACACCTTTATTGAAGATGTGGTGATGAGTAATGGGATGGGAGAAGGGGAGATGGAGGTGTATTATTTTTTGGAAGGGGAATCCTCTTCCATAAGGACTTTAAGTAGCAAGTCCTTTTCTGGGGTTACTTCCCTTCTTTTTTTAATGCTACTGGGAACAACTTGAGAGTCACTGGACCTCTGTCACACCAAAAATCTGTCCATACAGCTCTGTACCTCGTGTTCCTTTAAGATTTTTCTAAAATGGTTCACAACATTGTCGTTGTAAAAGTCACCAGCACAGCTTGCAATAGTTGTGTCAGGGTGATTTTCTTCCATAAAGGTTTGCACCCTTGTCCACATTATACACATTTCCTTAATCATTGAAGAAGGCAACTTCCTCGATTTCTCTCTCCCCTCCTCTGAAGCAATTTCCTCAGTTGTGGTCTCTAGCTGTTGCAGATGCTCTTGCAGCTCATCAGTGGTTAGTTCTTCATCGTCGTCCTCCACCAACTCTTCCACATCCTTGCCACACCTCCAACCCCAAGGACTTTCCCAATGCCACAGTAGGTTCCACAACTGGCATAGGCTCCTCAGGGTTAGCCCCAGACCCTTCAAAATCCCTCTCTTCTACACATTCTAGCTACAATTTCCTCCAAGCAGAGTTCAAGGTCCTCTTAGTCACTTCCTCCCAAGCCTTACCTATAAGGTTTATGCAGTTGAGGATACTAAAGTGATCTTTCCAAAACTCTCTTAGGGTCACTCGAGTGTCTGAGGTCACTTCAAAGCACTTTTGAAACATTGCTTTGGTGTACAGTTTTTTGAAATTTGAAATGACCTGCTGATTCATAGGCTGGAGGTGAGTAGTGGTATTTGGAGGCAAAAAGTTAAATTTTATGAAGCTCAACTCCCCCGAAATTCGCTCTGCCAAGTCTGAAGGATGACCAGGAGCATTGTCTAATACCAGGAGGCACTTAAGCTCCAATTTATTTTCCAGGAGGTAATTTTTCACAGTGGGGCTAAACACATGGTAAAACCAGTCATAGAAAATATCCCTAATGATTACCCCATGCCTTACTGTTTGCCCTCCACATCACACACATATTAGCCTTGATGACATTGTTTTTCCTGAACACTCTGGGAGTATCAGAGTGATACACGAGTAGAGGCTTCACTCTGCAATCCCCACTAGCATTACTACACAACATTAAAGTAACCCTGTCCTTCATAGGCTTGTGTCCTGGGAGTGCTTTTTCCTCCTGTGTAATGTAGGTCCTGTTTGGCATTTTTTTCCAAAACAGGCCTGTTTTGTTGCAATTAAACACTTGTTGGGGTTGCAGTCCTTCAGCCTCTATGTACCCCTGGAATTCCTGCACATATTTTTCAGCGGCTTTTTTGTCCGAACTGGCAGCCTCACCATGCCTTATCACACTGTGTATGCCACTACAATTCTTAAATCTCTCAAACTAACCTTTGCTGGCCTTAAATTCACTCACATCACCACTAGTTGCAGGCATTTTTTTAATTAAATCGTCATAAAACTGCCTTGCCTTTTCACATATGATCACTTGAGAGATGCTATTTCCTGATATCTGTTTTTCATTTATCCACACCAATAACAGTCTCTCAACATCTTCGAGTACTTGCACCTTTCGCAACAACAGCTTCCTTGATTGCCTTTTTGTTGGCCAGGATAGTAGTGATGGTTGACTGGGGTTTGTTGTACAACCTGGCCAGCTCAGAGGCACACACTCCACTTTCAAACTTATTATCACCTTCTTCATTTCAATTGTAATTTTCACCCTTTTTACCACAGGGTTGGCACTAGAAGCTTTCTTTGGGCCCTTGGTGGCATATTTAGCAGTTACAAGCACTAAAAACACTGGAATAATACAAAATGTCCCGAATGTATGCATGAAAGTGACCGCACTGGCTTGTAAACACTGGTACACTAACTGAAGGCAGGGCAGCTGAGGCGTGCTCAGGCCAGACGGACGCCTGGATGTGTATGGAATGAATGATGTAAGTCGAATTTTTCAACGTAGGTCGGGGTCAAATTTTTACGCTGACAAGCACCGTAAGTCGGGGGTCCATTGTATACGTATATGAAAAGTTTGTGTTTTTTGGTAGAAATTGATTAAGCGTTTGTAGATTCAGTTGTGGAAGTAGCTAGGCGGCTTCCACTGACCAGACATGTTCAGTGTGTGAGGCACAGGACCTCACACCACACCCTCCCTCTCTCAATTATACTCATCACTGTCTTCCCACCTACATCCCCATCCCTTCACTTTTTCTGTGTTGCCTGCCCTTGCACACATGTACTGTGTATGTGAGTCCTCTTCAGCCCTCTGACTAATACTTTTAGTAACACCACACCTCCTCCTAATTTCCATAATAAGAATTCACCGCATAATATTTACACCACACATTACCCTTAGACATGACATCTCCACTGCCTCCAGCCTCCACCTCACTGCAGCATTTACAACCCATTTTTCACACCCATATAAGAGTGTTGGTACCACTATACTTTCATACATTCCCTTCTTTTCCTCCATGGATAATGTTTTTTTTTCCTCCACATACCTCAACACACCACTCACCTTTTTTCCTTCACCAATTCTATGGTTAACCTCATCCTTCATAAACCCATCTGCTGACAAGTCAACTCCCAAATATCTGAAAACATTCACTTCTTCCATACTCCCTCCCTTCAATGTGATATCCAATTTTTCTTTAAATCGTTTGATACCCTCATCACCTACTATGTTCACTTTCAACTTTCGACCTTTACACACCCTCCCCAACTTGTCCACTAACCTTTGCAACTTTTCTTTAGACTCTCCCAAAAGCACAGTATCATCAGCAAAAAGTAACTGTGTGAACTCCCATTTTGTATTTGATTCCCCATAATTTAATCCCACCCCTCTCCCCAACATTCTAGCATTTACTTCTTTTACAATCCCTCTATAAATACATTAAACAACCATGGTGACATTACACATCCCTAAGACCTACTTTTACTTTAAAGTAATCTACCTCTCTCCTACACTCTAGCCTGAGCCTCACTATCCTCATAAAATCTCTTTACAGCATTGTTATGTTTTAAAAATAAGTGAGACACTACTGGATATGAATGAAACTAGTTAGACATACAGTCAACAAGACCTTTCTTGCATGACCCAGTAAGTCTGCTGCAGTGTTTTGTATCTATTCAAATGTATGTAATTTAACGACCATGTAATACCTGTAATCAAATTATGAAGTTTATTCAAAATAAATATGAATTACGTATATAAAAATATGTAATAGTAATTAATCCTCGTATTTTAAAAATTAATATACAGTGGCTAATGGTGATAAAAATTTAGACATTGTCTTTTATTAAGTTTCCCTCTCTCACATGTAAAATAATTCATGAAACTTTGCCCAACATTCCTGAACACAACTTCAGCTTACAAAACCTGCCAACAATTTCTTAATACTTACTCATTTAAAATTTGGTTAAGCATAGCAGTGTACGAATTGTGTTTAAGTAAGACAGGCAACTCATCAGGGTCATGGTGTGCAATAAAGCGGTACTGATGCATGTGGCGGAGCAGACAGTCTGTAAAGTACACATTCTCTTGGGCCCACATCTTCTTACGCTCCACCAGAGTCCATAATCTGCACAGTCACCAAAACTCAATAATTATTATTGATAATAAATGAAAAATGAAAGCATGTTAAAGTTTTGTAACCTGATTAAATATTTTTTACTTTTCATCTCATAAATATAACAGCTGCTTTTCCACTCCTCAGAAGAAAACTAAGTTAGAATTCTTCCCCTATACCCATGCATGTGCAGTGACTTACTTGCCTGGTAAAAAGTCTTATTACATATTTTCCTGGATGACATAAAACATGAGATAAAGAAGGAAATTTTAATCCTGGGGGTGTTTGAATGTGTGTGTATATACAGTGGTACCTCGGGATACGAACAGCTCAAAACTTGAACAATTATGTAAGTGTATTTATGTAAATGCTTTTGTAAGTGTATTTTTGGGGGTCTGAAATGGATTAATCTGATGTACATTATTCCTTATGGGAACAAATTTGTTCGGTATTGGCACTCGAACAGCCTTCTGGAACGAAAAAAATTTGTATCCCAAGGTACCACTGTATAATAAAGATGTGCTTGCACCCCGCTAGCACATTCAACCTGGTATGCTTGACCTCAAGCATAAGCAACACCAAGACAAGTTAATCCTGTGATTTATAAAGTGGTATCTCTAGTAAATCATAAAGTCCACTGACCATGGCACATAACATTGCAGTTTCTTAGTGGGATACATTGAAGTTCAGGATTGTTTTCTAACATTAAGGGAGCCATAATAGTTTTAACTCCTCTTCTTAATGTGGCTCAAAGACAGTTACTATCCAGGCTAGAGAGAGAGGATCAATACTGATCCTTTGGGCATCTGAGTCTGCATGACCTGGGCCAGGAAGACAACTGGTCAAAAAATGACCCTGTACCATATTTGTCAGTTATAATGTGATATGGCCCATATCAGTATAAACAGAGTTTCACACCAAAATGACAGACTTGGGCCACCTTAGCCTAGACCAATAGTTCCTAAAGTCCTGGCATTGGCGGATTTTACATATACTGTATATTGATATAAACCATGATTTTGTCAGTAATTACTCAAGGATATATGGGTTAGGTTCAATACAATACAAGTTAAGCATGACTGGGCATAAATGTTATGATCAAGACTTTTCTGCCTGGCAGGGAGGTAGAATTATTCACTACCTATTCTTAAGATGAAAACCTCTGCCTAGAGCCTGCCAGAGATTGTCTACATTTGCATTTTAGCATATATGCACTAACTGTACATATGACTATCACAGGGAAAGACTGAAACATGCTTTCCAGGGCACCACAAAATTTAGTTTTTCAGATATACTAGTAGTGAACACATTCACATATTATAGAGCCATGATGGAACTTGTCAAGATGGGCGAGATGCTTACTTGTTCTCAACTAATCCTATAAAAACACTCACAGATTAATAAGATTCACCTGTACAAGTGCCCATGAAATGCCCCCCTTCTTATCATAATGTTCTCCTTTGGTTTAAGGTACTGGTGTTAGGGTTCCTAAGCGGTTCATTAGACCCATAATTAGAATACCTTTTTTTTGAAGAATGCAAAATATCTTTCTGTATTTCCTTCAATGAACCAAATACAGAAAGACTACCACCTCTCTATGCCAGCTAGCATAAATCTTGCTTTTCAAATGGTGCCCAGGCCACTGATACATCCTTTATGGCAAGGAAAACTGGCATCTATAAGAATATGGAAAGCAGAAAAAGCTAAGACTGAGCCAAAAAGTAGTAGGGAGGTTTGGAATGATTAATTTTTAGGTCTAAATTTGTTTATGGCTATACACTCAGGTATGATAAATATATTTGTCATGTTTTAGACTCCAACAACTGCACTAGAAACAGCCAGGTCTCTGTTAATCTTTATACATTGTAGACACAATACTTATAGTAGAAGCAGCCAAGTCTGTGGACCCCAACACTAATAATAGCAGCAGCAGCAGCAGCAGCCAGGTCTCAACAAATTGTAGCATTTTGAAATACTAACAATTACAAGTGGCAACATACCTCGACTGATATAACTGAAGCAATACTAACCTACGAATACTGGGTTCACTGATATACGGAGGTGGATAAGAATATTTGGTTACGCTGATGAAGCCATCACTCTCATAGTAACGCAAAACCTTCTGAAGGTTAGGATGTATGTCCATTTCATAGAGAAAGACATGAGAAATTCCTTGTGCCCTTAAGGCTTCCAGCCATTCCACCATCCTGATGGAGAAGTCCTGGTGGTAATAGTAAAGTGCTGGGCCACACACTGCTGCAGTATACTCTTGCCCATTCCTGTTTAAAGTAATAAGTTCAGCATTTATTGTATACAGTATTATCAACCATAAGGCAATTTTTTTTTTTAGTGAATAAATGTCCAGAGTAATACTCCCTGTCTTATAAATGCAACCTACCCAAAAAAATATGAAAAACAGTCAAAATAATGAAAAGGGTATGTTGCTATTGTTGGGTTGTAATGACCCCAGGCAGTTCCAAGCCAATCTCACTGCTGTGAGACTGACTACCAGAATGTTTTTGTATATACAGTAGACTGTTGTTTAACACAGTTTTGTCTGGCACGTTTTGGTTATAGCACAACTGAAGAATTGCGGCATACTTATATTTAACACTTCGTAAAATTAATTTAACATAGTTGCGGGAGGGGAAAAAATTTTGAGTGCGCGGTCGCCCGTGGGGCAGGATGGGCTACTGCCATCCCCTGCCAGCATCAGCCACCCCCACCACCCTCCCAGCCTTCAGTTCGGTTCATACGTGTGTTGGATGAACCTGTGCCAGTAGCTCGCTGTGTTTGTTTAGATATATATTAATTTCCATATCTTAAATTTGCCAAGCAATCATGCACCCAGTAGGCATACAAGTGTTGCTGAAAGTTGCAAAAAAAGGTTTAAGCATTTAAGTCTTAGAATTAACAAAGAAAATAGAGATATTAGACAAGAGATAGCCTGTTGCTGGAATGAAGCATCATTTTGTACACAAAAAGAATGAGGTAAATATGAGTTTGTGTGATGACTGACTGACTTACTGACTTGACTGACTGACTGACTGACTTGACTGACTTGACTGACTTGACTGACTTGACTGGCTGACTGACTGACTGACTGACTGAGTGAATGACTGAATGACTTGACTGACTTACTAAATGACTTACTGACTTGACTGAATAACATACCAGCTTGACTGAATAACTTACTGAGTTACTGACTTGACTGGATAATATACTGACTTGACTGACTGACTGAATGACTTGATTGACTGACTTAATTGAATGACTTACTGACTTGACTGACTGAATGACTTGACTGAATGACCTGACTGAATGACTTGACTGACTGACTGACTTACTTAGTCACTTGACTGACCAACTTACTTACTGACTGACTGACTTACTGACTGACTGACTGAATGACTTGACTGACTTAAGGTTAGACTTTTTTACTGAAGAGAATCCTGAAATGGTGTCTAGAGCAGTTGATGCCTTACTGTCAATTGTATAATGTACTGTAGGGTAAAATAAAATAGAAATCCCTTACAGAATTTATGCACACTCCAGTACATCCATTGACTTCAGTACCAGAACCTCTACCATCCACCTCAGCCCAGTAGGACCACAGCATAACTCTCCACTCTCTTCACAATCATCCACAAACACCAGCACCCACAATTTAAGGTAAATACTATTATTTCTGTTGCATTTACAATATTATGCAGTAAAAACAACATAATACATCATGACAATGAACTACAATTATATATTCACTTTTATTTTTGTAAGATCTGTTGGTCTAAAAAAAAAAAAAAAAGTTGTCTGGCTTTTTGGGGGCTAACAGGAACGTAACCCTATTTTTCCCATAAGTTCTTCAGTATGTCTAACACAGTTTTGCCTAACACTGCTTTTTCAGGAACGTAACTACCGTGTTAAAAGATGGTCTACTCTATAAACTTATTAATTCATATTAATAATTAATTTAAATAAAAAAATTTAAATGCAGTTTTCCTCATATTTTCAATAGTAACAGAAATAAGGAAAGGGGGTGAGGGAAGGAGGCAAAGAGGGAGATACACACATGTAAACAGTGCCATCACCTGCAGCCAAGCCCCATACAAAACTTGTATATTTATCACAAAATTTAAATTTAACAATGAAACTGATGCACAATGTATATACAGTAGGTACTGTACTGACATCATATCCAATTTCCACAACCCTGATTATGGAAAACACAAGATGAAGTGGTGATAAACAATTTGTATATAAACATTATCTTCAGTATCCTCACATCTTAGCCCTGATAATGCAGAGGATATGAAAACACTGTATGTATTGACTGCTTTACAGTAAACAGCTAATTTAGTCCCCTCTGTTTAGACTTGTGACTCCCATGGTGATAACTTACAAATATTATCACTATCCTCAGAGGCTATGAAAACACCACATATGTTGACTGCTGATGCAGAAAAACTGATTTATTTTCATCTGTGAAGACTGAAAATATAACCTTGGCTGGGATTATGCAAGATTGATAATTTGAGTGAAAGTATCCCACCCCCCACCCTTTTCCATCTACTACCCAGGCTGACTTATGGCTGATAATAATATACAGTAGTAAACAAAACAACAACAACAAAAAGAACAGGATCAAGGGAAGTCAGAAGTAAAAAAAAAAAAAAAAAAAAAAAAAAAAATGGAAGTTTGCAATTTGGCATGGCAATAAATCAACAATTTTGTTAACTGTCTGATAGCAGTTTATGTAAGAGTATAATGCAGTAATAACAATTTTATTTTCAAAATGTACATAATTGTTACAAAATTAAGCAACATTTAGTACAGTTTGAAAAACCACTGAATATGAAAAGCAGGAACTTGACAGTGTATAGTTGAAGTTAGATTATTTGAATGCTATGTTTAATATGAATGTCTGATAGATTCAATTCTTTTAACCTTTACTTGTAGCTCATTCTATGAGAGGATTTTCAGTGTCAGGAACAAGAGTTGCTGGAAACCATGAAATAATGAGGATACTGTATAAAGAATGTACAGCTCAGCAAGGCAAGAGTTGACATCCTTAAATAAAGAAGTAGGTGAGAAAGCATAAGGAAATTCATGTACCCACCAAGATTGAATTCTTTCGGTGTCCCCAGTAAATGACCAAGATGTTGAGAGCCTAAAGTTCCTTTCAGATCATTTAAAACTGTTGCTGATAAGGGAACTGGTGTTTTACAAGCTATGAGGATATATCAAGAGTAGCTTCCCAACTGGAAGCAGAGAAATTGATCTTGAGGAAGTGTGAGGAAGAAAGATAGTAGGCAATGAACCATGTCCCTGTGAAGAGCTGAGGAGAACTGAGGCATACTCACACCACTCATGAAAGGCAGAGAAGCTACAAAACACATTCTATTATAGAATGCATGGTTTTCTGGAGTGCTGATGAATGATCTAGGCATTTTTTAACTGAAGACATTTTGCCTGCTCAGCAGGCTTTTTTCAATCTAATACAGGGACTTGATGATAGAGACTTTTTATAGTGGAGTCACTGGGAAAGGTGGAGTTTTGCAGTATTAGTATATGTGGTCAAAGGTGTAAAGGACCTGGCAGTGAGTCATTGGTCAGAGGCCAGCACTAATTGTAGAATATACCTCCAGTACCAAGATTCCATAGTGTTGCTAGGTCAAACACTACCTTTAGACCAAGAGCATACTAACAAGTTGATGAATAAGACATATCTAATGATCCACATCCTATTCATCAGCTTTTTAGCATTGCATACCTTTCATTTAATGACTATCCTGGAATGTGTTGGTTGAGACAGAAACTCTAGTAGGGGCAAGAGGCTGAGGTCAATGCCCTCTTGACAGGCCCCTACACCCACTGAAGTAGGAGGCTGTTTGAGGCCAACAGCATAAAGAGGAGTGAAGTTTAACAATAGAGAGGCTGTCCCATCTTAGACACATGTAGGAATCCCTGCAAGGAAGCAAATCAACACAACCCAATAGCAGGAAAGCCAGGCAGTCAGAAAGGGTATCACCAGTTCTGTGTACCAGCAAAGTAAATCATTGCTACAAATATTTTCAAGAGCCAAAGAGACTGCCAGAAATCTTGAAAGCAGTTGGAGGACATCCCTGGGCCCCAGGAAATGAAATAATCATAAACAGAAGAGAACTGTGTTGGTGCCAATAATAAAAATAATATAATAATAATAATTTCCACAAGTACATGATACAACTTATACAAACCTAGCTGATATCAATTACATACTATATAGAAATCCCCTTGTTATGCAGAGCATCAACAAATTAGGTTAATTTTGTCCCCAGGATGCAACCCACACCAGTTGGTTAACACCCAGGTACCTATTTACTGCTAGGTAAACAGGGACAGCAGATTTCTTAAGGAAACACACCCCCAATGTTTCCGCCCATACCGGGGATCCAACCACAGACCTCTATGTGTGAGCTGAGTGCGCTACTAACCAGGCTATGGGACAAAATAGAGTAACAACATTACTCTGAAGCCTCAGCTGATGATTATAACAAACACACACTTGAAGGAGGTCCTTACTGACCACAGAGTGCACATACAAACTTTGTTGGGGTCTAGAGCCGTGAGTATTGGTGTGAATGAGGTGTGGCATAGTTCTGGTGGGCCCCACTGCAGAAAAATTTTTTAAAAAGGGTACTTTTTTTTTATATCCTAAAAGCTTACATACATTATAGGCATCAAGATATCCTTTTAATTCCTTTATACAGCTACATTTCATGCTCACAAGACCCCAATAATACATTTCTAAGCATGCTGAAAAATTTTTCTGAGCTCTACTTACCATTTATCATTTTGTGAAATAAAAATTACTAGACACAGCCATTGACTCTCTTTCCCTGCAGCCCCAATCACCGGGAAACAATTTATGAATCAGTGAATCCACATTTTATGTGTTATGTGCATTGCATTTCCCACATACAGTGAGGAGAAAACATTCAATAATTTTTTATTTGTGTTGCTACATCTTGATCAGTGATACCACATGTACACACAACAAACACAGTCTAAACGGGACTTCGATTTGCTATACAGGTGCTCCTTGACTTATGATGGAAATGACTTACGATATTTCGACATTATGATGGTGCAAAAGCAATTACTCTGGAGATGAAACTTGAGATAATTACCCAGCATGAAGGCAGGTAGTCCTTAACTTACATTCGTTTATTTACTTTTAAATACACTCGAAATTTAGTTAGTGACAGTAATTATTTTGACAGTAGTTATTTATTTATTTATTTAGCATATGATATTCATATTCGACTTACAATGGGTTTTAGGAACATAACCCCATCGTAAGTCGAGGAGCACCTGTAAATATATTTTGCAAAGCTGTCAGACACTACAAAATTTGCAGTTTCGGAACAAATTCCAATGTTTTGCATGTTATACTGGGTTCACTTTATGAACCATAGGCAAAAAATGCATCTATAGCATAAAGAAAGGTCTCCCTCATGTTAACCCTTGACTGTTTCCGACGTATAAAAACGTCTTACGAGCCAATGTTTCTGACGTATTTATACGCACAAATTCTAGCGGCTTCAAATCGAGCGCCAAAGGCCTGATAGGCCTACACGGGAGAGAATGGGTCTCAGTGGTCGGTGTGCACCCTGTGAAAAAAATCTGGGACTAGCGTGCATTGTGGGAATGCCATGTTGTCAGTCCATTTTCACCATGCCTCTCAGTAAGAAGTTCCTCACTCTCGGCGGATTGGAGGTCTTTTGTTCCCAAGTGATAGCTCTAACAGCGATTTAAAGTGTCAGTGACGGTGAATTCAAGGGTTTTTTAAGTGAGTGTTACCGAAAAAAGTGCCCAGGATAACGTAAATAGTGACGAAAACCCAGATGACCCACAACCTTCGACCTCTGGTGCTGTGCCGGCTTGTTCACGTTCACGTTCGCCTGTACCAGGACGAAAGAGGAAATTATTTGGTCGTGTACAACACCCTGATGATAGCAGTGATATGATAGTGATAGTGATAGTGATTTCAAGGTCATTGAAAGCAGTTCTAGTGACAGTGAGAGTGAATATTCCCCAGTGAAGCGCCAGTATGTACGACGTAGCATGCGGTCTGGTTAGTGTTTCATATGTTGTTCCAAGGGGAAGGAGAAACTCTGGGAGCACATCCCGTGGCCCAACACCACGACCTGATAGTGAAGATGACGATATTGTAACGATGGGTATGAATGGTGACAGTGAGGGAGGAGGCAGTGGTGGTGATAGTGAGGGTGGCACGGCCCATGTGGCACCATCACCGGGCCACGCTACTAGCCACGCGGCTGACTCAGCAGAAACAACCAGCCTCACCCTACCCCACACTGCCACAACCTGCACCACCACAACCTGCACAGCCACAACCACAGCCACAACCACGGTACAATATCCAGACCCCACCAGCAGACCGCATCTGGGATTGGCAGGACGGTGACGAGTTTGTTCCAGTCCCCATGACTTTGATGAAACACAAAGTGGGTAAAGCCATCTTGTCCACTTTGGGAACAATGCCAGTGAACTGGACTGCTTTGAGTTATTCTTCGATGAACCCCTGATGGACATCATTGTCAGGGAAACCAACACATACTGTGAATACACCATGGCAAATACAATTCTCTCACCAAAATCACGGCTACACAAGTGGAAGGAGACAACTGTGGCAGAGATGTACCTGTTTTTTGCCACAATAATGCTTATGCCACATGTGTATAAGCACACTGTCACCACATACTGGACAACAGATCGCCTGATTTCAACTCCAGGTTTTAGTGACATTATAGGTGTCAATCGTTTCCTGATATGTTGCGTATGTTACACTTTTCAGACAAAACCAGGCCTGACAGAAGCGACAGGTTATATAAGATAAGAAATGGTGTTTATTACCTGAAACAAAAGTGCTGCATGTATTTTTATCCCTTCAGGAAGCATTGTTATTGATGAGTCCTTGATTTTATTCAAAGAAGACTCTCATTCAAGCAATATATACCAAGCAAGAGGAAACGCTTTGGTAAAAAAGCTATTTGTTACTGTGTGATTGCAGAAGTGGTCTTGTTTTAGATATTATTGTGTACAACGGGCAGTATATACTTTGAGAGATACCATGAAGTTATTGGGTATCTCTGGTGATGTGGTTCGAACAATGATGGAACCATATCTTGGTAAGGGGCATATGTTATTTACTGATAACTGGTACACAAGCCCCTTACTCAGTGATTTCTTGCGAGTGAACTTGACAGACGTGTGTGGCACAGTGCGTGGTAATCGCAAACATATGCCAAGGTTCGACGCTGGCACTCGCAGAGGTGAGGTGCAAGCCTTTGCTGCCAATGACATCATGGCATTTCGGTGGCATGACAAACGTGATGTCACATTGTTGACATCAGTTCACACAAACGAAAGGGTACCCAGTGGCAGGGACAACAGAGAGACCAATGAACCCATTCTAAAGCCTGCAGCTGTCATGGACTACAACCTCAATATGCGCTTAGTGGACAAATGTGACATGCAGATTGGGTTTTTGCAGACTGTGTACGCAAGAGTTATAAGTGGTATATCAAACTTTTTTTCCATCTTGTTGATATCTCTATGCTAAATGCTTATAACATATACAAGTTGAAGACCAACAAAACACCAAAATATGGTGAATTTTGCCTGTCAGTAATCAGACAAATAATTGCAAAGTACAAAGGAGCAACTCCTGCAATAGACCAGCGCCCACAGACGTCATCTCGTATGAGGCCTGGTGATCACTACCCCATACAACTGCCTCCTACTACTGCCAAGAAAAATGCTCAGAAGAGGTGTTATGTATGTATGCATACCACAAAACGCCCACAAACACGCAGAGACACTCGTTTTATGTGTGAGGAGTGTGAAGTGCCCCTCTGCATATACCCATGTTTCAAAGAGTTCCACAAGCTGCAGCAGTTCTAGGAACGTGTTTAGTGACTGTACATATGTATATATATTATGGAACAATAGTATAAACATTGTTTTGTATTGTTTGTTTGTGTAAACAAAGTGTAACACAAACTAATAGTGATAAAGTTTGTTCTGTTATTGTGTTGTAAATAATGAGTGTATATTTGAACAATGCACCTTACATTGGTCTCACAGGCCACATAAGTTACCTGGAAAAGAAAAATATTGAAAAATGCAAAGAAACCTTTGAATTAGAGTAATAAAAGAATACCGGGTGGGGCGGCAGTCGCCGCTGTTGCCGTACGCACGTCAATTTGTGCAAACTTTGCGGCTCTATATCTCGGTAAGTACTGATGGCAAAAATTTTTTTAGGCTTAAAACACTAGTAAAAATATTCCTAACATTTTCATAAGAAAAAATAATATTTTTTTTTTCTAATATTTGGCGACATAGAATGACAGTTTCAGAGAGGGCCCTGAAACAGTCAAAGGGTTAAAAAGAGATAAAGACTACCTCATTCTTCCTGTCCCTGCCAGCGATTACGTTGATCTTTTTGACCAGTGAATAATTTTTATTGTTTTTCTTATTGTAGCTCTCTCTACAAGCAAGCTTTGGCATGGCAATGGGGTCTTTCATTAGTGCAGTACTAGCTACCATATTTTATGGTGTTGAAGCTACTTTTTTTTTTTTTCCACAAAATAAATCTCGAAAATTTTCTCAGCATTCTGGAGGCTAAAGTAACATTTATCTTTTTTTTTTCCAAAATTTAGCCAATCAGAATTGAAGGGGAAGGGCACTGTCAAAACTGGAGCATCTTGTTCACCATAAAATATGGTAACCTGTACTTGAAGGCAGGAAAACTCACCCCTTCAGCCATAACAATGTGATGTGGCAGTAGTGTATTGGTATCTTCTTCACAGTACCTAGTAAGTTTAGCAGCACTGACTTACAGCTTCAATATCTCCAACTGATTGTAAGTCATCAGGATACAGCTGTCAGATGTAAACTATTTTGTGCACCCAGTCTACACTACAAATGACCTCTATGATACTACATAGTTCTATTTTTCTGCAATTATGTATACTAGATTAATGAAGCCCATGGTAGAAAAATCATTTCCATAATGAAGTTTTTAAAGTTACATAAGTGTCTCATTTACATTGGATGAAATATTTACATGTAAAAGGTTAGTGGCAGTATGGCAGGGAGTGTGGACAACAGAGACTGCCTCTGGCTTGATGGAGCCCATACTAGGAGGAATGCGACATGTCAATAAGTACATCATTTCACGTGACCTGTCCATCCACTGGTAGTCTATGTATTCTGGGGAGCAAACCAGTAATATATTAATATAATAATAATAATTTATTATTATTATTATTTTTATTGTTATTATTATTTTTGTTGCAGTTTTATAACTGTAGTGTAAGTGCACCCCTGGCAAGACAGTGATGGAGTGAAAGAGGAAAGTTTTTCTATTTTCGGGCCACCCTACCTTGGTGGGAAATGGTTGATGTGTTAATAAAAAAAAATTTTTTAACATGCTGGCCATTTCCTACTGAGGCAAGGTGATCCAAAAAAAGAAACGCTTTCAAACCCTCATTCACACTATCATTGTCTTTGCAGAGGCATGCAGATACGACAGTTTTGATGTCACTCTAAACAGCAAGTATCCCAAACCCTTCCTTTAAAGTGCAGACATTTTTACTTTCCACCTCCAGGACTCAAGTCCAATTGGTTTCCCTGAATCCCTTCACAAATTATTACCCTGCTCACACTCAAACAAATTATTTTTAGTAAGCCATATAGAAGAAGGGGTTACTAGTCCATTGCTTCTGGCATTTTAGTTGACCTTTACAACAAGCATGGCTTATGGAAGAAAGATTCTTATTCCATTCCCATGGATATGAAAGGAAATAATAAGAAAAGAACTATTTAACACGCTGACTGTCTCCCACCAAGGTAGGGTGACCCAGAAAAAGGACACACATTCACCATTCACTCAATTGCTGTCCTGTAAAATGCATGCTGATAATAAAATTCAGATGACCCTGTGAGCTGCAATATCCTCACTCCTCTAGGGTGCAGGCACTATAATTCCCACCTCCTGGACTCAAGTCCAGCTAAGCAGTTTCCCCTGAATACCTTTGTTAATGTTACCATGCTCACACTCCAACAGCAAAATCAAGACCTTACAACCACTTGTTTCCATTCACTCTGTTCTAGCAAACATACACACAAACTGTTGGATATTCAAGGCCCTAATAATCAAAACCTCCTTGAACCCCTCTCACTAACACTTCCTGGGATGACCCCTACCCCTCCTTCCTTCCATAAAAGATTTATATACTCTTTAGCCATCATATTCTGCTCCATCCTCTCTAAATGCCCAAACCACCTCGATTTCTTCTCAGTCCTCAATTGTACTTAAGTAACCCCACACCAATCTAATCACCATGCTCCAAATTCTCTGCATTTTAATCACATTTCATATTGCTCTCAAGCATGACATTTCCACTGCCTCTACAGATCCCTCAACACACCACCTACCTTATATTCATTTCCTCCATACTCCCTCCACTCCAATTTGCTATTCAGTCTTTCACTGCCTAAAAATTTTTATCACTCATCACCTTGTTAACATCATCATTTTTGTTACTTTCATCACCTTGCTATATTCACTCTTAACTTTCTTTTATATACCCTTCAAAATTCCTCCATCAACCTTTGCAACCTTCTTCAGAATCTCCCAAATGAACTGTGTCATCGGCAAAGAGCAACTATGACAACTCCCACTCTGTATAAGGTCCAATATATTTCAAGCCCACACTTCTCCCAACACCCTAGCATTCACTTCTTTACAACCCCATCTATAAATACTCTATGTTAAACAACCATGGTGACATCACAAATCCCTGGACAATAGTCCCTCTACAATACACAAATAGCCCTATCTCTCCTACATACCCTAACCAGAGCTACACTATAAACATGAAAACTCTTGACTGCTTTTAGTAACCTACTACCTATTCCAAACATCTGCCACACTGCTTCCTTATCCACCCTATCACATGCATCTTCCAAATCTATAAATGTGGCAAAAGTTTCTTACTGTTCACTTAATATACTTCCCTGTAAATGCTTGGTCTACACATCCCCTACCCTACCCAAATCCTCCTTGTACCTATTCAATCCTACATTGTCTTACTTCTAACTCTTTCAATAATAATTCTTAAAATAAAAATAACATTTAATATAAAAACAATAAAAAAATAAAACCTATGTAGTAGGTTGGTAGACAGCAACTGCCCAGGGAGGTACTACTGTCCTACCAAGTGAGTGTAAAACAAAAGCCTGCAATTGTTTTACATGACAGTAGGATTGCGGGTGTCTTTTCTCCATCTCATAAACATGCAAGATATCAGGTACGTCTTGCTACTTCTACTTACACTTAGGTCACACTACACATGCATGTATACAAGCCTATATATACACACTCCTCTGGGTTTTCTTACATTTTCTTACTAGTTCTTGTTCTTGTTTATTTCCTCTTATCTCCATGGGGAAATGGAACACAATTCTTCCTCCATAAGCCATGCATGTCGTAAGAGGCGACTGAAATGCCGGAGGGAAATGGAACAGAATTCTTCCTCCGTAAGCCATGCGTATCGTAAGAGGCGACTAAAATGCTGGGAGCAAGGGGGTAGTAACTACCTTCTCCTGTATAAATTACTAAATTTAAGAAGAGAAACTTTTGTTTTTCTTTGTTGGCCACCCTGCCTTAGTGGGATACGGCCAGTTTGTTGAAAGAAGAAGAAAAAATAAAAACAATAATAATAATCATATGATTATAATACTACAGTAGTAGTAATATGTGCCAGGAATAAGTACAGTATGATAAGAGACATTCATTAAAGCTTCTGACCAGTTTTGATAATTCTCGAAGTACAGGGGGTTTTGTAACATTGAACCACAAGTGACAGTAGGCAGGCGGCAGGCATGTTGAACTGCTCACACTCACTATCCGCACACATGGTCGCACATCTGAAAGTAATGAAAAAAAAAAAGCTCCAGGCACAAAATACATACCACAGAGGAAAAAGAATAGTAGATGTCTACTATTCTATGATACATGAAAGTTTCACTGCTATTGTGAGATGTTATTCTCCGGATGACAGCAAGATCTTCAATGTTATAAGGCTAGGCACTGTCACATAAATATCAACATCATTGTAGTTTCCTAATACAGTGGAACCCCGGATTTCGCACGTACATACTGGATATTGGATGTTTCGGATTTAGAACACTTTTTGGGGCAAAATTTTGCTCTGGATTTTGTACCTTGTCCTGGGAATTATATGTATCAGATGCATTTGCCCACCAGGATGCTGCCTCAGTCTGGCTTTGTCACTGGTTGAGTGAGCATTCATCTGAAACACTTCACAATTTTTGTGCTTGTTAATTGATTGCGACTGTGAAATAAGCCACCATGGGCCCAAAGAAAGTTCCTAGTGACAGTCCTTTGGTAAAGAAAGTGAGAAACACAATAGAACTGAAGAAAGAGATTGTAGAAAAATACGAAAGTGGTGTGCATTTAGCCGAGCTTGCCAGGATGTATGGGAAGTTGAAATCAACAGTCTGTTCCATCCTGGCAAAGAAAGTAGAAATAAAGGAAGCTAAAGTTGCGAAAGGGGTGAATATGCTAATGAAACAGAGATCACAAACAACTGAAGATGTGGAGTTGTTGTTGGTGTGGAAAAACGAAAAACAGCAGGAGATAGTGTTGTGGAGTCGATCATTTGCAAAAAGGCAAGGACGCTGCATGCAGATCTCATAAAGAAAATGCATGGAACGAGTGCTGCTGTTAGTGAATTTAACATTTGACTGTTTCGATCGTATATATAAATCTTACGAGCCAGTGTTTTTGACGTATTTATACTCCAAAATTCTGGCAGCTTCAAATCAAGTGGGAGAAAGTGGGTAGGCCCACATGTGAAAGAATGGGTCTGTGTGGTCAGTGTGCACAGTATAAAAAAAATCCTGCAGCACGCAGTGCATGAGAAAAAAAACCTCCAACCTTGTTTTTGGATTAAAACGCCAACTTTAAGGTGTATTTTCACATACAGTGGATCCTTGGTTATGGGCCACAATCCATTCCAGAAGGCTGACAAAAACCGAAATGGCCAAAAACCGAAATAATATTTCCCATAAGAATTAATGCAAATACAATTAATCCATTCCAGACAAAAATATTCACAAAAACATAATTTTCTTAATTATATAAATATTACATACCTTTATTGAAGGCTAATGCTGGCTTCTGGAAGATTGGGAGGAGGAAAGAGGGAGGAGTTAGTGTTTGGAAGGGGAATCCCCCTCCATAAAGACTTTATGTAGCAAAGCCTTCTCTGGGGTTACTTCCCTTCTTTGTCTTTTAATGCCACTAGGACTAGCTTGAGGGTCACTGGATCCCTGTCTCACAAAATAACTGTCCAGAGTGCTCTGTTTCTGGCATCTCCTTAACCCAAACATACATATACAGTATATGTTCTCTCGCGTAGCGCCCCAAACTTATATATACATTTTTTTTTTTTAACAAGCCGGCTGTCTCCCACTGAGGCAGGGTGACCCAAAAAAGAAAGAAAATCCCCAAAAAGAAAATACTTTCATCATCATTCAACACTTTCACCTCACTTACACATAATCACTGCTTTTGCAGGGGTGCTCAGAACACAACAGTTTAGAAGCATATACCTATAAAGATACACAACATATCCCTCCAAACTGCTAATATCCCAAACCCCTCCTTTAGAGTGCAGGCATTGTACTTCCCATTTCCAGGACTCAAGTCCAGCTATATAAAAATAACCGGTTTCCCTGAATCCCTTCACTAAATATTACCCTGCTCACACTCCAACAGATCGTCAGGTCCCAAATACCATTCATCTCCATTCGCTCCTATCTAACACGCTCACACACGCTTTTTCTTATCATTTGCACAACATCCACGCACATTCATACTTCCCACTTTGACAATTTTCTTTTTCTTATTCTTTTTAGTAATTTTTACAGGAAAAGGGGTTACTAGCCCATTGTTCCCGGCATTTTAGTTGACTTTTACAACACGCATGGCTTATGGAGGAAAGATTCTTATTCCACTTCCCCATGGATATACTAAAAGGAAAAGTAATAAGACCAAGAACTATTAAGATAAAATCAAAGAAAACTCAAGACAAGTGTGTATAAATAAACATGTACATGTATGTGTAGTGTGACCTAAGTGTAAGTAGAAGTAACAAGACGTACCTGTAATCTTGCATATTTACGAGACAGACAAAAGACACCAGCAATCCTACCATCATGCAAAACAATTACAGGCTTTCGTTTCACACTCACTTGGCAGGACGGTAGTACCCCCCTGGGTGGTTGCTGTCTACCAACCTACTACGTATATATACGTTTCATTTGTCATTCATTCAACATTGGCACGCTAGGCCTGAGTTGCCTAGACATGACAGAATGGGTGTGTGCACTCACTGTGCGCCATATGAAAAAAATTGGGGATGCCTGGGTACCACATGCTCTTTTTTCCTATAAAAAAAAACGATTTTTTTTCCTCAAAATATTCAGGGCGCTGCGCAGGTGAACGTATATATACGATTGGACCATTTAAGGGGACAGGATTTTGTCACTAAACATGTTGCAGATATGGCTTGTTTCAGCTTTGTCAGGGTGGTACTTCTTGACAAAACTTTGCACATCATTCCACTTTGCACAAATGTTCTTAATCAATGAAGAAGGCACCTCCTTCACTCCCTCTTCCTCCTCCTCTGAAGCAAGTTCCTCAGCTGCAGTCTGTTGTTGTTCAAGTTGAAGCTCTTGCAGCTCTTCAGTGGTTAGCTCTTCCCTGTGGTCCTCCACCAACTCTACCACATCCTCGCCACTCACCTCCAACCCCAGGGACTTCCCCAGTGCCACAATAGAGTCCACAGGGTCAGAAGGGTCAGGGTCAGCCTCAAACTCTTCAAAATTCCTCTCTTGGACATAATCTGGCCACAGTTTTCTCCAAGCAGAGTTCCTGGAAGTCACTCCCTGCCAAGCCTTACCTATAAGACTTATGCAATGGAGGATAGTGAAGTGATTCCTCCAGAACTCTCTTAGGGTCAACTGAGTGTCTGAGGTCACTTCAAAGCACTTTTGAAACACTGTTTTTGTGTAGAGTTTTTTGAAGTTAGAAATGACCTGCTGGTCCATGGGCTGGAGGAGAGGGGTGGTGTTAGGAGGCAAGAACTTTCAAGTCTGGAGGATGTGCAGGAGCATTGTCCAGTACCAGGAGGGACTTGAGTGGCAAATTCTTTTCGGGAGGTATTTTTTTCACACCTGGGCCAAACACATCATTAACCTACTCTTTGAAATTTTGCCTTGTGACCCATGCCTTATGATTATCTTTCCACATCACACTCAATCTATTCTTCATGACATTGTTTTTCTTGAACACTCTGGGAGTTTCAGAGTGATACACTAGTAAAGGCTTCACTTTGCAATCCCACTAGCATTACTACAAAACATGAGAGTTAGCCTGTCTTTCATAGGCTTGTGTCCTGGCAGTGCCTTTTCCTCCTGGGTAATGTAGGTCCTGTTTGGCATTTTCTTCCAAAACAGGCTGTTTTGTCACAATTGAATACTTGTTGGGGTTTGAATCCTTCAGCTTCTATATACCCCTGGAATTCCTGCACGAGTTTTTCAGCTGCACATTTGTCAGAACTTGCAGCCTCACCATGCCTTACAACAACTGTGTATGCCACTACGCTTCTTAAATCTATCAAACCATCCTTTGCTGGCCCTAAATTCCCAAACTGCAGCACTTGTTCCAGGCATTTTCTTTGCAAGATCCTCATGCAACTGCTTTGCCTTCTCACAAATACAGTAATCAACTCCACAACACTGTCTCCCATTAATTCTTTTTCCTTAATCCACAATAATAATAACTTTTCCATCTCTACCATTATTGGTGGCTTTTGTTTAATTAGAAAAGTGACTCCTTTTGCAACATTAGTGTCCTTGATTTGTTCTTTCTTTGCCAGGATGGATGTAATTGTTGATTTATTCTTGCTGTACATCCTGGTAAGTTCCACCACCCTCATACCACTCTCAGACTTTTCTATCACTTCACGCTTAAATTCCATGGTGTTTCTCACTTTTTTTACCACTTTCTTTGGAGCCATGGTTACTTATTTCACAGTTGCACTGCAAAAATAACACAAACTACAATGGGAAATAAGCAAAATGTTTGGATTTATGAGCAGAGGCTTCCTCAGCCACCGAGAGACACAGCCAAACTGATGCGCAAGCAGCCTCAGCCGAATGACCGATCACTGAATTAACGGCCGATAACGTGGTACCGAAAAACCGGCCGATCACCGAGTTGGCGATAACAGAGTCGGCCGATAACCGGGGGTTCACTGTAGGTTGTATTCTCATTTTCTTGGTCTCATTTGATAGAAAGGAAGACATATTACAGAAATAGAGATGATTTTGATTGGTTTCATGATGAAAAAGATCTTGAAATTGAGCTCAAAGTAGCGGAAATGTTCAATTTTTGCCGATGTTCAAGAGTAAACAAATGACGTCGTTATCCAATAAGTGTCCAACTAGCCATTCTAATACACAGTCACATATGGGTTGACGTTATTTATACAATTATTATAATAATGCAGTAGTCTGCATAACAGTAAATCTTCTATTTTTTGCATGAATAAAAATTCAAAATAGAAAACAAGAGTAATATAAGAATGGCCTGGAGACGTGACTGATGAACAGAGAAAATGCTATTTTATTGCCAGGAATGTCTGCATTGTTCATTCTGGACTCTATTTTGAAACTGACATCCTTTTTAATTTGCGTGAAATTGGCCAAATTGCCAATATTTGACCACTTTATTGGGTAGTTGAAATCAGTAAATGGGCAATTTCTTGTACTCAATCGCTAAAACAAATGGAGTTCTAAAGAAATAGCTACAAGTTTGGTCAACTGGACAATGGAATTGGCCAAAAAATAGGGCTCAAAGTCAGCGAAATCGCCGATGCATAAACATCACCGAGATCACTAACTTCTTGAGAGCGTAATTCCATGAGTTTTCCATCAAATTTCATACTTTAGGTGTCATTAACATCGGGAATAGATTCTCTATCATTTCATTAGAATTTTTTTTTTTTTAAATTCTGAGACAGAGAGACACTTTAGGATTTGGGGTCGCGACAGTCAAAGGATTAGGGTCATCAAAGACTGGTTCGACAGATTCAAGAAGTGTTGTGGAATACACAGTGTTGTAAGGCGTGGTGAGGCTGCAAGTTCAGACAAATGTGCAACCGAAGAATTCGTTGATGAATTCAAGGAGTACGTAGAGGCTGAAGGATTCCTCCCCCAGCAAGTGTTCAATTGTGACAAAAACAGGCCTCTTTTGGAAGAAAATGCTAAGAGGACCTACATCACACACGAGGAAAAGGCATTGCCAGGACACAAGCATGTGAAGGATAGGCTAACTCTCTTGTTCTGTGGTAATGGTAGTGGGGATTTCAAAGTGAAGCCTTTACTGGTGTATCACTCTGAAAATCCCAGAGTGTTCAAGAAAAAAACAATGTCATCAAGAGTCAATTGTGTGTGATGTGGAAAATTAATAATATGGCATGGGTCACGAGGCAAATTTTCATTGACTCGGTCATGAAGTGTTTGACTTGAGCGTGAAAAAAATACCTCCTGAAAAATAACTTGCCACTCAAGTGCCTCCAGGTACTCCTGCTCATCCTCCAGGCTTGGAGGACCAATTGATTAGGGACTTCAGTTTTATAACAGTGAAGTTCTTGCCTTCTAACACCACTTCTCTCATCCAGCCCATGGACCAACAGGTCATTTCTAACCTCAAAAAACTCTACACGAAAGCAATGTTTCAAAGGTGCTTTGAAGTGGTCTCGGACACTGACTTAACCTTAAGAGAGTTCTGGAGGAATCATTTCAATATCCTCCATTACATAAGCCTTATAGGTAAGGCTTGGCAGGAAGTGACTTCCAGGACTTTGAACTCTGCTTGGAGAAAATTATGGTCAGAATGTGTCCTCGATAAGGATTTTGAAGGGTTTGAGGCTGACCCTGACGACCCTATGCCTGTTGAGGAATTTATTGTGTCTTTGGGGAAGTCCATGGGGTTGGAGGTGAATGGCAAGGATGTGGAAGAGTTGGTGTGGACCAAGAGAAGAGCTAACCACTGAAGAGCTGCAAGACCTTCAACTGGAACAACAACAGATCGCAGCTGAGGAAATTGCTTGAGAGGAGGAGGAGGAAGAGAGAGGGAGAAGGTGCCTTTTTTAGTGATTAAGGGCATTTGTGCAAAGTGGAATGAGGTGCAAACTTTTGTTGAAAAATATCACCCTGCAAAGATGATACAAGCCGTATCTGCAACATGTTCAGTGAAAATACCTTGTCCAATTTTAGGCAAATCTTAAATAGATGCCAGAAACAGAGCTCTCTGGACAGATTTTTAATGTGACAGGGGTCCAGTGCCAGTAAAAGACAAAGAAAAGAAGTGACCCCAGAGAGGGCTTTGATACCTGAAGTCCTTATGGAAGGGGATTTCCCTTCCAAACATAGCCTCTGCTCCTCCTCCCTCTCCCCTCCTCACCTTCTTCAATAAACCAACAACAGTCTTCAATACAGGTATGTAATGCTTGTTTATCATTAAAAATTAGTGCTTTATATTTATTTCTCATTTTTTTCTGTATGTAAAACTATAGTTATTCTTTAAAAAATGAATTTTTTTGAATATTTTTGGATGTCTGGATGGATTAATTGGATTTACGTTTCAGATTTAGAACAACCTTCTAGAATGGATTAAGTACGAAATCCAGAGTTCCACTGTATTTCATTCATGAGTACTTGAAACACTGCTACCAGACTTTGAGTGAACTCTCTCTCTATGCTACATACTGCAATTGAAACATAATTACAAACATTAAATTCCTGCAGTTATTTTAACATTATCAAATATATTTCTCATTATCAGATATTGCACTGTTAATTTCAAGATAATGTATGTACTTAAGATAAGCACTACTGTAGTTCATTTCCCAAGTCATACCCTGCAATGCCATTCAAATTATGAATAATTTGACAAATTTTCCCAACTTTCAAATGCCCAATACAAGTCGTGTTATTCATCAATAAGAGTCCTGAGAGAAATTACAACATGAATGACTGAATGTTTCAGAAAGAACATTACATTCCCCAAAATCAAAACATCTTGATACCTGCCAAACAAAATTAATTGAATGTCATGATGCATTGCAATTTGAGTTGGTATTGCTACATACAGTACTTGCATCAATGACAATCAAACTAATTAAATACAGTTTTTGCATCATTCATTATGAAAAGAAAAAAAAAATTATTACTGACCAGAAGTGTATGCATACCATAATACATTACCTTTGATGTTTACCCATTTGACTGTGATCGGTTCTTTGACTACCAGTAACTAATGGTTTTGTGCCTTTTTATTCTTTAACAAATGATAAATTAGAGGAGGAAAGACCTCTGCTGCTCTTAGCAACATGTATCCTTTTAAAAGTGTAAATTTTGACAATTCATCCCTATTAAACCAACACCTTGTCTATATGTCTGAAAAATACACTACTCAGAAATAGTAGGATGGAGGGAATGGTGAGTGGATAAAGAATACAGTGTGAAAACAGAAAGGTTATATGAAATGTGTAATACAAAAGCATTTTATTAACCTTACACAAGCATGGTTGTATATTGTATTACAAGCCATTGGCTTACCAGTATGTTTTCTGTTGTCATAGATGGCCGAGTAAAGAAAAACAGTAGTATCTTGAGAGAGCTTGGCTTCCTGCCAGTATATATTGTGCCATCTGATGCTGCAAAAAAGAACTATTCATATTATGCTGCACAGTGGTAATTCAACAGCCATTTCTCCTACATCCCATGAAAAGATGCTCACTCCCACCCTTTTGAATGTACCAGTGCATAAGTTTAACCCACACAGGATGAAGAAACTGTCATCTATTAGGCATGAGATTTGTATCAATGCCAACACTCCTGACAGACTGTTATGCTCAACACCCTACTGGCTAGAGGTACCTAATATTGATTAGAATCATTCTTTAAAACTAAAATCTGCACCTTGCCGGTAAACAGTACATCAGATTTGTGTGGCATCTATAGGTTTAGAGCTTCCTATGACTATGAACAATAACAATAATAATAATAATAATAATAATAATAATAATAATAATAAATTAGATTTATTTTGAGAAAGGTATCCCCCATATCCCATACACCCAGTCCCTTGTACTGAATGCATTGCAAAAGGGATAGTACGGTACAGGGTGTGGCACAAGTTTCTAATGTAGTTTATATATCAGCACTGAAGATTTGAAACTGCTTAGAGAAGGCATTAAAAAATTATTGCAGGAAACTTAAATCCCAATTTCTTCAATTAAAATAACAAATTGGCACCTACACAACCCCAAGCCAATTCAAACTTTCCAATAAGTAGGATAAACCAGCTCTAAAAGTTTAAAGCTAATTGGAAGAGGCTTTTCACTGTCATCACACAGAACTTACCATATATCCTTATTCACTGTCAAGGCTGCATATACCTTGGCCACCCCCAATTAAGATTAAGATTGCTGAACCTGGCTAGCTGCCCCCTCGTGGAAGGCTCCTTAACCTGGAGAGACTCTCTTGATGCAAGAAATTGGACATGTCCTTCCTTTCCTTGGATCTATTCTGATTGCCTCCCACATCTCCACATGCTATGTGACCCCTTTAGGTTTAGTGCTTCTCTCTAAATACATTATAATACAGTATTGAAATTAACATGGCTGACTAACTGGCACACACTGACAGCATTAATCTGTCCAGTTGGTTATAACAATTGAATATCAGTGGCCTGAAGATTGAAACCAATGACAAAAAATTGTAATACACAAATAACCCACACATAAGAGAATGAAACTTATCATGATGTTATAGTCAGACTTGGACAATTAGTCACTAAGTACGGGTCCAATTTGGACTGAAACATCATCATAAGTTTCATTTTCCTATGTACGGGTTATTTAAGTACTGCTTCAGTCACGGTTTTGTGCCTTTTTATTTCTTACAAAAAATGTAATTGTGTCATAACTTACTTGAAAAGGCTTGGCATTAGGTTACACCTTGTGTTTTGTGTCATATCCATGATAATTCTCACAGGTATGTTTGGGTGATGCTGCATCATGGTTCTTCTTTGTTGTTTGATTCAAAATGTTATAGATTCCTCCATCTGCTCAACTGTGTCTTGTGATGATGATAAACCAAGCATCGTCTCACACTGACACTCAGGTAAACTTTCATATTTAATGTAACTATTTTTGCATCCAAGACTCGCATAGAAGAACAAAATACAGCAGAGCGAGATGAGCACATTCAGGGCCAGACTAAAGAGCAGAACCCTGAAGAAATAAATATTGTATTAATACAACTGCATTGCCCCACCTAGAATATTTTGTCTGATTCACACAATAGGTAGCACCAAAGGGTCTTTTCAAGGGATTTAACTTGATGCTGGTGAAGGGCTCTTGATCCAAAGAACTGAAAACTACCTCCCTTTCCTTGGACTGAATCTGTTTGCCCCCATTTCCATAGCACTGCATGACCCCTATGGTTTAGTGTTTCCCCAATGAATGTAATAATAATAAAATTACATGTCAATGTTCATTTGTGCCCTGATTCAGCTGGGACTCCTACAAAGTCCAAGACCTGGTTGGTATCTGAACATGGAACAGCTTGTGGTGTCACTAGGTATCATAGGTCATCTGGGGAGTGTGTACCTCAGGAGAAAGCTGTTGAATGGTGGTGGAACTCCAAGGGGCTGATCACAAGGACTATAGCCCAGCCAGTGAGAAAGGTGATTTAACGAGACTGCTGATGACATGTGTTAGAGAGGAACTCTTAACATGGCCAAGCAAGAACATCAAAAAAAATTTTGACATTACATAAACAGCATGCACCAGAATTAGCAGTCATAGGCAAACTTGAGTGTAATTGCAGGCAAAAACCCCATCAAGGATACATGGATGGCCTACCAGTGAGAGTGCACACTGCACAGAGATCAATCTCACCAATCACCAAAGAAGGTACTCATCTGCCTTACTGCACAGGCAGTGCAACTCCAAGTGTTCAGACTGGGAGAAAGCATCTTGCCTGAGTGCATGAACCTTGCCACACCAGCTTGGAAACCCCTGAGGAAAGTGTTATCTTGCTGAGGGATTGGTGCAATATCCCTAGATAGACCTATGCTCTAGAGAATCCCTCCTATAGAATGACAGACATCCAGGTTACATATTCCAACAGTATGAATAAAAACTCACACCTGTGACTAGTTTTGAGGGCTCTTCCACCATTACTGCCCAGCTGAGGCCAGACTTGCTTGTTGATGACAGCCTGATCATCTAGTCTTGTTGCCAGTAACCAGCAGGCCTACATAACCATCACATCCTGGCTTCTTTGGTACTTGTTGCAGGTACTGGTTCAGTTTCTGCTTCAAAACTACCTTTGTTTGGCAATATTTCTGATATCTTCTGGTAGCAGATGAAGAGTTTTGAACCACATATAGTGACAGTGTTCTCTAACTGTGCCTTTGACACTCCTGCTTTTCACTGGGTTTATTCTACATCCTTATGCATCTCTTACTACAATACCAATCATTGTAGGAAGTGCAAATGAATTTGTGTGATATTTCTTTGTTTAGAAAGCCCACCATCTGAAACACCTGAAGAACCATCTGGAGAACCCCTAACAAGAACAGTGAGGAGGAGCCAGACACCATGTAGATGATACAAAATAGTTCAAGGGCTGCAAATGAGAGGCCGACAGATACGAGTCAAAATTCATAGAGACATGTTGAGCCTGAAAGGCATGGAATGAAAATTGAAAACTTTCACCTTTCAAACTGAATGAGAAGAATCTGCTGAAGATGTGATAAATCAGAAAATGACAATAGGCTTGACAGAGTTCATTCACCGCAGCCAGAGAGGAGCAAATCCAGGAAATGAATTCTATCTCGAAATCTGACAAAAGCATGTGAATGATCAGATCCTTGAGATCTAGAAAGACAGGTTCTTTCATCGAGATAAATAAACATTCTCCTATGTCATTCTGAATATGGTCCGTGATGACAGGAGACAGGTGTGCAAATGAAGCAGCTGGAGGAATTATCCAGGGTTGCCACTGATAATGGAGAGCAAGTCAACCATCCACAGGTAATAATCAACCCCTATATAAGGGTAGGGAAGCCCCACAAGGTGCCCTGCAGAGAGGATCCAATAGTCCAGGAGCAGAAAGGCAAGGAAGAACACGACGCCAAAAGTCATATGGCACCTGCAAACATTATATGCAAGACGAGGAAGACGTAGCTAACAGGATAGCAATATGTGACATCAAATTAGTCAGCTGCTTGTCAACCATTTGTTTGACATTAGAGATGCCAGCAATAGAATCAGCCTCTAACAAAATAGATTGAACAACCAAGAGAGGACCTCATAGGATTCCCATGGCCCCAAAAGCCCCTTTAGCCTGGTCTAAAGTAAGCAAACGATAAGGAAGCCAGGGCCCTTACCCTCTTCACAGGCACCAGCCCACTGACAAAGGAAATGACCAGTGCAGGCTCACACATAAGAGGCATTCCCTGATGCCACACAGCAACAAACAAGGCTCCTTCTCAAACTATGCTTTTTTTGAGATCCACATTTGTCACTGAATACATACAGTAAGAGTGCAATGGACAAGTGAACTAGTAGCAGCAGCTGCACTCACAGCAAGAAGAATTCTTGAGCTTTCTCAGTGCTCAGACATATGTCTAAAGCTGGGAGTGACTCCAAAAGGATCCCATAGTGCTTGCTGCCTTTGCACCTCCTAACATCATCTGCTGCAATGCAGCTGCCACACCCTTCAAGCCCAGTGTGGGCAGGGTTTGTGGCAGCCCAAGGTGCCTAGCTTCTCCCTCCGAGCCCCGTGGGGGTATTAACCCTTTGACTGTTGCGGCCGTATATATACGTTTTACGAGGTGCTGTGTTTGACGTATATATATACTCATAAATTCTAGCGGCTTCAAATCAAGCAAGAGAAAGCTGGTAGGCCCACATGTGAGAGAATGGGTCTGTGGGGTCAGTGTGCACCATATAAAAAAAAATCCTGGAGCACGCAGTGCATAATGAGAAAAAAAAAAACTCCGACCGTTTTTTTTAATTAAAATGCCGACTTTGTGGTCTATTTTCGTATAGTATTTATGGTTGTATTCTCGTTTTCTTGGTCTCATTTGATAGAATGGAAAACATATTACAGAAATAGAGGTGATTTTGATTGATTTTACTATAAAAAGAACCTAGAAATGGAGCTCAAAGTAGGGGAAATGTTTGATTTTTGCCAATGTTCAAAAGTAAACAAATGATGCCATTGTCCAATAAATGTCCAACTAGCCATTCAAATATGCAGTCATGAATGGGTTGATGTTATTTATACAGTTATTACAGCATTGCAGTAGTCTGCATAATAGTAAGTCTAATATTTTTTGTTTGAATAAAAATTCAAAATAGAAAGCAAGAGTAATATCAGAAGGGCCTGGAGACTGACTGATGAACAAAGAAAACGTTATTTTAGAGCCAGGAATGTCTGCATTGTTCATTCTGGACCTTATTTTGAAATTGTCATATTTTTTAGTTTTCGTGAAATTGGCCCAAATTGCAAATTTCTGACCACATTATTAGGTAGTTGAAATCAGTAAATGGGCAGTTTCTTGTATTCAATCGATAGAAAAAATGAAGTTCTAAAGAAATAGCTATGAGTTTGGGCGACTGGAACAATGGAAATTAGCCGAAAATAGGGCTCAAAGTGGGCGAAATCGCCGATTTGTAAACAGCGCCGAGGTCGCTAACTTCGCGAGAGCATAATTCCGTCAGTTTTCCATCAAATTTCGTTTTTTCTGGTGTCATTACAATCGGGAAAGATTCTCTATCATTTCATAAGAAAAAATAATTTTTTTTTTTTTTAAATTTTGCGACACCAGGAGACACCTCAGGATTGGGGGTTGCGACAGTCAAAGGGTTAAATGTGGGCTAGTCCCAGAAGACAAGGAGGTACTTGTACCTCCTCCCATGGCAGACATTGGTCTGAGACACTCCCATGAAAGGGAGCCAAGGCCAGGCCACCACTTGGAAAAGGCCTGGGGTGGGCTAATATACCGGCAAACCTGCAACAACAACATCTGTCAATGACCTAACCAAAACCCAACCAAACAGAGATCAGTCAGGGTAGGCCACAGCTATCAAAAAGCTGGTGGGCCAAACTGAATGAACTGCCAATATGAGTAGGGATTCTAGAAGAGTAAGAAGGAGCATTATAAATCTTGAAAATGACAGAAAAGCCCTGTGGTGCCAAGCATAAAACAAAGGTGAAGTCAGTGTTGGTACATCAGAGGATGAGAACTGGGTCTGAGAGGTTTGTGGGAGTCCCAATTAATGTTGAACACAAGAAATGAGTTGTGGCTACATGAACACCTAAATTTAATATGGTAATTCTTACAAGCTGAAATATGTGACAGAAGTGAACTAATTTCCCTTCAATTTTTTGGTTTATAAATCTTGACAATATTACAAAACACAATCTACTATTTTATATTATGCTATTTTATAGCTAAGTACAGCATTGTATGTGAGAGCTTCACATAAACAATAACTTATGCAGGGTGAATCTAATGTTTATAGAAGATACATGATTTATTATACAATATATATGATTATTTAATTGACATTTTCCTTACTACAACCAGATAAAAGAAATGAGTTACATGCTAGTACAAGTTCTGTATTTCCTTCAGAGTTTTTTACAGTATGTTTTTAGGGCAACCCATAAGACATTCTTCAGGTTGTAGCAACTATTTACTGTACAAGTACAGTGGAACCTTGACTTACGAGTGTCCCAACGTATGAGTTTTTTGAGATATGAGCCGTCCCCAAGTCGATTTTTTGCTCTGAGTTACGAGCCAACATTTGAATTACGAGCCAGCCCTGCCCCCCTTTTCCCCCCTCAACCCAAAACCTGGAAACCTCGCGTGTTTATTTATGATTTCATGCTTTAATTCCATGGAAATCATTCTCTTTTCTTCTCAACACTGTCCTTTACACTTACTTTCTTAGGACCATGCTTAGAAAAATTAAATTTGGCCAAATGACTGTTAAAAATGTAAGCAAAGCAGGAGAGAACTGCTCCCACAGTGAGGTAAACAGTGCACTCAGTTGGTAGAATTCATTATAATAAAAATAATAATAATTATTATTATTATTAGTGTTATTATTATTATTATTATTATTAATTTAACTAGAGCACAGATCCAATTCCCTAAATTAATCATCATCATAATAATAATAATATTATTATTATTACAGCCCAGTCACTCAGTCAAGTCATTTAGTAAGTCAGTCAGTCAAGTCAGTCACTCAATAAGTAAGTAAGTAAGTAAGTAAGTAAGTAAGTCAGTCAGTCAGTCAGTCAGTCAGTCAGTCAGTCAGTCAGTCAGTCAGTCGTCGTTCAGTCAGTTCATCAGTTCAGTCAGTTCAGTCAGTTCAGTCAGTTCATCAGTTCAGTCAGTTCAGTTCGTCAGTTCAGTCAGTTCAGTAGTTCAGTCAGTTCAGTCAGTCAGTCATTCAGTAAGTCAGTCACACAAACTCATGTTTACCTCTTTTTCTGCGTACAAAGTAACACTTAATTATACTACAGGTTATCTCTTGTCTAATATCTTTGTTTCTTTGTTAATTCTAAGACTTAAGTGCTTATACCTCTTCATGCCACTTTCAGGAACATTGGTATGGTTACTTAGTGTCATGAATGCTTGGCAGATACAAGATATAGTAATTAAAATACCATAACACAATTCACAAAGACAGCTGCCTTGTAGCAGAGAAAGACTGGACTGGACATGTATGAATTACGAATGCTGAGGTGGTGGGGTGGTGTCAGGGAGTGGTAAGGGATTGTGGGAGGGCTCCCCGGCTGCTCCACAAGGCTGCCGCTTGAGCAAAAGAGAATTTTTTTTTCGCCTTCCCACAAACTGAACCATGTTAAATTAATTATACGACGTGTTACATAAAATTCTTCAATGGCGGTCTACTGTATTATTATAAGAACGATATAGTTTCAGTTCCCTAAATTAATAGTAATAATAATACATTTTTTTTTTTTTAAACACTGGCCAATTCCCACCAAGGCAGGGTGGCCCAAAAAAGAAAAACTTTCACCATCATTCACTCCATCACTGTCTTGCCAGAAGGGTGCTTTACACTACAGTTTTTAAACTGCAACATTAACACCCCTCCTTCAGAGTGCAGGCACTGTACTTCCCATCTCCAGGACTCAAGTCCGGCCTGCTGGTTTCCCTGAATCCCTTCATAAATGTTACTTTGCTCACACTCCAACAGCACGTCAAGTATTAAAAACCATTTGTCTCCATTCACTCCTATCAAACACGCTCACAATTAGACACATGTGCAACTCTTGGGTATCTTTATTAAGGAAACGTTTCGCCACACAGTGGCTTCATCAGTCCATACACAGGAGAAGCTTGAAGAACAGGAGGAGAATGAGGCAATCAGTCCCTCAGCCTTGAGTCAATGTGGTCAGTCCATCAATCTTGAGTAGAATACGGCATATGAGCGGAGAAGGAGCTTATAAACCGTAGGTAAGAGAGGTGCAACAGTCGAAGGTGGTGTCACATTTGCCCAATATGGAAGTAGATCGTGCCCAAGGGTTAGGCAAATGTGACACCACCTTCGACTGCTGCACCTCTCTTACCTATGGTTTATAAGCTCCTTCTCCGCTCATATGCCGTATTCTACTCAAGATTGATGGACTGACCACATCGACTCAAGGTTGAGGGACTGATTACCTCATTCTCCTCCTGTTCTTCAAGCTTCTCCTGTGTATGGACTGATGAAGCCACTGTGTGGCGAAACGTTTCCTTAATAAAGATACCCAAGAGTTGCACATGTGTCTAATTTATCAACGTGTCGGTTCTGTGAACCATTCATCTACAAACACGCTCACGCATGCCTGCTGGAAGTCCAAGCCCCTCGCACACAAAACCTCCTTTACCCCCTCCCTCCAACCTTTCCTAGGCCGACCCCTACCCCACCTTCCTTCCACTACAGACTGATACACTCTTGAAGTCATTCTGTTCCTCTCCATTCTCTCTACGTGTCTGAACCACCTCAACAACCCTTCCTCAGCCCTCTGGACAACAGTTTTGGTAATCCCGCACCTCCTCCTAACTTCCAAACTACGAATTCTCTGCATTATATTCACACCACACATTGCCCTCAGACATGACATCTCCACTGCCTCCAGCCTTCTCCTCGCTGCAACATTCATCACCCATGCTTCACACACATATAAGAGCATTGGTAAAACTATACTCTCATACATTCCCCTCTTTGTCCCCAAGGACAAAGTTCTTTGCCTCCACAGACAATAGAAACAATAAAATGAATGGAATATTATTATATTTCGTATGAACAAGTGAGGGGACCGTCACTCACTGGTAAACAATGGCACACTGGCTGGGAAGGGAGGCCGAGGCGGCTCAGAGCCGTAAGTACGCGACTGATGAACGACGATTAGCGAGTCAACCAACCATTTGCAAGCCAATGTTTGGATGAAAATAACGCGACGATTTCCAAAAAGGACGACTATCGAGCCCGACGATTATCGAGGGACCACTGTATAGTCAAATTGGGACAGAAATGGCGGACGCTTCTGCCTCTGCCACCATACTATGGCCTATTTTATTCATTCTAGAGTATATATCATGTTTCTGTGCTAATTACATTGTTTATGTCATATTAGATGAATTTTGATAGATAAATAAGCTGTACAGTTGATAATAGCATCATATTCAAGTATTTTTTCTCGTGTCTCCAGAGTGCAGGAACGGATTAATGCCTTTTCAATTAATATAAACGAGGAAAATTAATTTGATATACGAGTAAACTGAGTTACGAGCTAGTTCCTGGAACAGATTAAACTCTTAAGTCAAGGTTCCACTGTATTAATACTAGCGTTAGATATATAATAAAGCATGCACATCTAACAAACATTTGAATGGCCTGCTGCAAGAATAATACAGCATTTTACTAAAATCTGTGAGTAATCATAGTTCCCCTGGATCATTGTTTCAGTAAAAGCTTGTAGTGCATGGGTGAATACGTATACTATGTTAACCTTTTTGGTGAATAAATTAACAGTATTTAAACAAAATAATACTTTCTTCTTTTAGGTCATCCTACCTCTTCTTGCAAATTCTGTTCATTGTGACAGGAAGTCTCAACCATCGCTTCAGCATCAGTCTTTCCGAGGGCACTGCAAGTCTAAGGGAAAATTTATGTATACTAACTCACAGTACAGCGCTTCAGTAACAGCACGAGCTTGCAAATTTTTATTAAAGTTATATTCACTTTTTTTTGCATGAGTTATTAGGCACCAGTGAAGAGGCAGGGCCAGGAGCTATGAATCAACCCCTGCGACAACAATTTGGCGAGTACCAGCACAATAATAGACCAAATATTTATCAGAATAAAAGAAGAAATTTTCAATATATATTTTTTAGATATATATATTTTTTATTTATTGCCTTCCTGTGAATATAATGATAATAATCTGAATCCACTTGGATAATGTACTCATGTTCTATTAGAAATAACATGTGGCTAAATATGACTTGGGAAGGAAAAAACAAATACATACTAAAAACCAGAAAGGAAAAAAAGATATTGTACAGTATGATGATCTAGGACAGTAACATATTGTGTATGAAAATGTAATCAAAAAGTATATCTCAAAAATGAGAAAATGACAAAATGTAAAAATAATAGTTTAATGGAAGCTACTGAAGAGTAATGCAAAAAAATATCTTTCATTGAACTATGCAATTTTGTCTTAAGACGATTGAAAAACTGCAGCCAGTTAGTTGCCTTCTTGAGAAGATACACGATCTTGAATCTTTTCATTACCCAAATTTGCTCTGGAGAGTAACCACAACACTGAAGAGAAATACTAACTATGTTGGAGGTGCCAAGAAAAATGTGTAGCTCAGATGGTATCCAAGAAAGTAAGGGTTTTAGATGTGCATGCAGGGAGTACACGTGATGGAGATGGCATGCTCTTTTGATCCGAGTGAATCATCCATCTGTACAATTAGAAACAATGAGAAGACACAAAGAGTTCATGTAATGACTAGTGCAGGTTGTGAAGTGTTGAAAAAATAACAAACTACATACAAGGAGAATGATGAGTTTTCTGCCTGCGTAGTCATGGCATGGATCTTTACCATGAGGTGACCTGGCGTTGGCTCCCCACTGAGTCATCAAAGGGTGGAAAAATCACAGTAATTTAGCCAATTCTTTATGTCTTTGGAGTATGGCAAAGGTGACTTAGAAACAGCATAGGATGCTGTGGGACCCAGTTGATGCCTCTAAGATTTCCCAAGGAAATTAAGAACATTTGGGCTTGAATCTTTAATGTACCTGTATCTGTAAAATAAAGTTAGTAGACATGACAGCAGGATAATTTGTTGGGGGATGGATGCTGCTGGTATGAGCTGATGAAGCAGATTGTGACTTCAACTTCATCTTCCTTTCTCTGGGTAAAATACAACTGCTGCTAACACTGCTGTCACCATTTATATCAAAGCTTATATCTATGGTGGATGGTGAACAAATACTCTTTGGAGGAGAGCCTTAGATTTATTTAGGTTCTGTACAGGCAGCATTCTAGGCTGCTCTACCAGGCCCCCACCTGAAGAGTAAAAGGAGGGCCTTCTTATCTGTAGGCTGTGTGGTAGGAGAGTGATAATGATCTAAGCTGTTGTCCAGCGAGGTCTAGGGAGGCCTAAGCCTCAACAGATGGCAGTATAGGTCTATGGAGACAGTTTCCCTATGGGAAACAGATATGGGGTAGGCATACTACCTACAATACCACTGTAAACATGTACCTACACTTGACTCTCAAATTCAGCAACTCCCATTTTCTCTGAATAAATTATTTTTCAGATGAAATTTATACTTAGAAATTGGATATGAAACTATTAGTGCATATAGTCCCTGCTTTGAGAATTCAGGTTCATGAATAGAATTCAAATTCAAATTCAAATTCAAACTTTATTCTCCATAAGTATTACAATGCTGAGTTTACAGAATTTGGTTATTGTGTGGTTTACATGTAGTAAAATAATAATTACAGAGTGTACCACTAGAACGCCTAGCATGGCTAGGCATCTCGGGCAGACTTTTATTAAATCTTAGGTTTAATTATTATTATTATAATCAAAAAGAAGCGCTAAACCACAAGGACTATACAGCGCTGCAGGGCAGGAAGGAAGCGAGGGCATCAGGTGGCAAAAGGGAGATGGATGAGTAATAGATTACGGATAACAGCGGGGCAGTGGATGGTGAAAGGGTAAAGGGCAGCAAGAGACTGAACTAGAAAGGGGTGAGGGGAGTGCGAAAAGTATCATCAGAGTTTGTGGAGGAATCAGTCGTTGTCAAAAAGTAAAAGAGAGAGTCAGGATTAAAGGGGGGGTCCCCCAGCAAAAGGGAAGGAAAAGAGAAGTAGTAGAACGAAGACGACTTTGGGAAAAATTTTCTGCTCCCGTTGATAAGAGGGAGTCTAACAGAATGGCAAATTTGATATGGTTTGGGACCCGTTACAGAGAGGAAAAAGGGTGCCTCTCCATGAATACCATGAGAAAGATGGTGGGGACCAATGCGAAGGGGGGGAGAGTGGTCCCCCAAACCCGGGCACTGTGACAAAAGACGGCCAGAAACCCTATGCTCGGTTTAATAGAATAAGTTTGTTACCGAGCAGAGTTGACCAACGTTGTTCCCAAAGGGGTGCGAAGGTGGGTAGCTATTGCAGAAAATAGCCCAAAAAGGAACACCTCGTGGGAATTGGTAGGCTTTACTGCTGACCCCCGCAGCGTGTCTCCTGTTCTTCCCCGTAGTCGAAACCGGGGAAACCCAAAAAAAAACAATTTTTTTATGTTTGTAAAGATAGGGCGTAGCCAAAGTTGGATACGGGAATAGGGGTTTAGATGTATCAAATTTTCGTATAGCCTGTGAGCCAAAGGGGAGTTTGGCTACTAAAATGATGACACAGGCTAGATGCGATCGAATAAGTGTGCAGAAGGCTAAGTTCAGCAGTAAAAAGCTAGTGAAGAAGTAAATTTTTCCCCGCAACGCTGTCCGAAACACGCTGCGAATCCGACCGCCCGAAGACTTGAGCCATCTGTGTACACAGCGGGGGGCATGAGAATGGGAGTAAAAAGGATCAAGAAAAAGAGAGCGGGAAGCCCCGTAGGCAGTTTGAGCTTTCGGCAAGGGAGTAGAAAGAACAGGCCGAACAGCGGAATTCCCGGGGGGGGTGGGGAAAAAGTGAGTCCATGAACATATAAAGGTGGAAAATGAAGGAAGACAAGATAAATGTAGGCGAAGAAAAAAAGGGACGGAGCAAACGGGGCGGCAACGAATAAAGAATGTTACAATATCGGTGACCATTCTATAAAGGGAAAAGGTTGTGTAATCTGAAGGTACATGTAGCGAAGGAAATGGGCATCACGGCGATCAGACAAGGTGGAACTTCGCTTCGTTAGAGGGCTTAACGGGGGAAGGCGAAAAGCCCCAAGGCACAAACGTAATCGTTGGTGAGGGATAGAGTTAAGGCAAAGGAGAGTACGGAGAGGCCATGGAAAAAAATTGGGACCATAATCGATTTTCGTTTTAAAAACGAGGGTGAATGTAGGGAAGCAGAGTTCGACGATCAGCTCCCCAGGAAAGATGAGCAAGGGGTTTTAAGAAGGTTTACCCGGCTGTGACAAGTGCCTTAGAAGGTTTTGTGGGGTTTTCCGGGAAACCCGACGGTCAAAGAGAAGGCCTAAAAAACCTGACTGAAGTTCGGGGATGGGGGACCCATGAGATACGGATGATCGGAGATAAAAGGTCTGTAAAAGTAATTGGGGGTTTTTTGTACTTGAAAATTTAAAACCCATGGTGGGGGCCCAAGGGGAAAAACACGGTCGACCGCATGCTGGAGAGAAACTCAAAAAGATGACAGTAGCGCCTGCACAAGCAATAGCGAAGTCATCAACATAGAGTGATGACCAAATATTGGGTGGAAGAAAGGGCCCAAAAATTTTTATAGCAAGGAGAAAAAGTGTTGTGCTTAGAACACATCCTGAGGGCCCTTCGTTTGGGACGAAGTCGGGAAAGAACTTTATTTGATCGAACCGGAAATTTTGCATTAAAAAGTTTTTAAAGGAAGGATGGTAGATTGCTGGGGGCCTAAGGAATGGGCCTGGGCCAAAATATTATACCTCCAAGTTGTGTCATATGCCTTTCAAGGTCAAAAAAAATGGCAATAACAAAAGTGATTATTCGCAAAGGCATTAAAAAAAAAAAAGTACCCAAGCGTAGTAAGGGGTTAGGTAGACGCCCTTACGAAGCCAAATTGACTAGGGAGAGACTGTTGTGTCTCTAAATCCCAAAATTAAAACGTCGATTTACGAGAGTTCCATCACTTTGAAAACTGCACTAGAAAGACGGGGGGCGATAGGGGGAGGTCATGCCCTGTAGTACCCGGGTTGGGAAAAGGGAGAACAATGGCAGTTTTCCCAAGTGGGGAAGAACCCCCTTGTGCCCAAATAAGATTGAAGAGGGGTAAGAGGCTACAAGGGTGACCGATGTAAATGTTGTAACATACGAATAGAATGTTGTCGGCCCCCCTGCCGAGATCGGCAAGCTGAAAGGGGTTTTCCTCCCCGTTCTTAAGTGAAAAGGACATTAACTGTTTTCTCTAAAAAAAAAGTCCAAGGGTACTAACTTTGGCGCTTTGAGGGGAAAAAAACGAGGGGCATAGATGGAGCCCCGGGGGAAAAACGGACCCCGAGTGTGCCCAAGTTCAATGCAATGTCGGAGGGTTTGCTAATCAACACCAGCGACCCCTAGAAAGGAGTGGGGCAGGAGGTATTTACCCCCTCAATTTCCCCACTTTTTTCCAGACTGCATCATAGAAGAAGCAGAGGGTGGGGGGGAAAAATAGTCTCGCCCAAAAGTGCGTTGGCTTCATGTGAACCCGGGGAGGGGGATGCATGGTTGCTTTTAAAAAAAGAAGTCTTCAGCGGTTTATGTACCGGTACCCCCCCATGCAGCACGTTTCAAACGACTGCCGAGCACAAGCGGAGACCACCCGGCACGCACTTTGAGAATGCCTGCCGAGGTTTGGGGTATGAATAGAAAATGGGGTATAAATGACGTCGAAGATGTGTAGGATCATCAATGGAGGATGAAAAGGAAAACCCCACTAAAAGCAGTGAGGT